ATTACACTTCTCATTAAATATTACATTATATTCTTCCTAATAAGTAACTCTCTAACCCCTAATATTACATTTTTAATTTAAAAATATTACTCCATATATTCTACATAATTAATATGTTTCCTCATAATCAATCAATTTATCTTATATTACACTTTTTCTTATAAATAATTAATCAATCGCTAACTATTACGGAGTAAATTTTAATTTAGAAGTATTACATTTTCTTTATAACTAAGGATCAATTTATTCTGATTAAATTTTACACTTGAGTTAATACCCAAAATGGGTCTCAACTATAGTGGTTTTTCTCAATTTCATCCTAAACGACTTTGGTGACCTAATGTAATCCTAGACTTTTGTGTATTACATTAGGTCACCAAAATCGTTTATGATAAAAAAAAAAAATTTAAAAAAAAAAAAAAAAAAAAAAAAAAACCACCACTATAATCGAAGACTATTTTGAGTAGTATTAACTTTTTTACATTTCTATCTTCACCTAACTGTCTGGTTCCCATCCAACATGGTCACAGCCCCACACGCAGCATATATTTAAGCATGAAATGACATAGTATCCGAGGAAGAGGCTTATCTCATTCCCATGGATTCGTCCTCAACGATAAACATCATACAACCCGACAATATACTTAAATAAACATGGCACACAACCGTTCCCGCGGGCCCGGAAACATCGTACCAAAAAGCAAACAGCAGTAGAATTACTACACAAATCACATGAAAGCACATAGTATGTAGCAAGTATAGTACAGCATATTGCGTTGAGGATGAATGCCCAATAATTGATTAAGCAGTTCACAGATCAAACCAAAAGCAGTAGTAGCTAGCTCAAAAAGATGTGGTTTCTAACATGTCCATAGTCAAGGACAGCATAAAACTATGTATAATGACAGCAAGAAGATGCTTAAATACCGAAAGTGTCTACAGCACCTCGCTTGCTTGTATTCCACGAGTTCGGTGATGCAAACAAAAAAAAAAATAAAAAAGGCGTAATATAATGACACTACTCGAACTCCTCCCAGTTTTGAGTTACTACAGTAGATGAGGGTGACCTGGGAGGCGGGGGGTTGAGGCTGCCAACGCCCGAGTCAAATGTTTCCCATTGAGTTTGAACTGACACCGAATTAGAGGAGTCCGCAAAGGGATTCAAATTCTTCCCTTTCAGAACATCCATTTTATCTACGAGGCTCTGGACCCTTCGCACCTGAATGGTAGAAATGAAGAATAATTGTTAAGCTGAAGCTTATAATAAATAAATATATCATTCTGAAAAATTCATGTAAATTCCACATGGAGTCATGCATGGTCCATTAACTAAAAGCATCTCTCTAAATTTAGTACCGGTCTACTTGTATAATACAGCTATAATATGGATTGGTAACTGAACCCGAAAATGCAATGACCTTGAGTGATTGAAGTCAAACACAGAAAAAGATCATGTAGAAATTTTTAGTTCTTGTTTATTTTAATGATGGAAGGCAACCTAAAATTCCAAGGCAAGTTAAATTCGTCAAAATTTCTAGGGATAGAATCATGCCAAATAAGGTGAGCTCGATGCTTTCCTGTGCCCCAATACAAGTTAGTTGTAGCCAGTGATGACAAGAAATATGTCAGGCCCAGAAACATTGCTACATTTCAGTGGAAAAATAGAAGATCAATACTAAGGAGAAAAGTGATGATGTTTAGGAGAAAATAACAATTCATTCACTAACACATACCACAGTAACGATAAAACACAACGTTCAAAGGATAAAAGAACTAGCAAAAGGGAGCAAGGTATCCTGTCTTGGACTTCCATACACTCCTCATGTCAATAGCCTCCACCCAATCTAGGTGGGCAGGTATACTGTCTTGGATTTTCATGTTTTAACCTAAATTATTATTATTATTCGTAATTGATTTTTTATATAATAATCCAGATGTCACAAAACCTTCATGAAAAAGCAGTCCGCAGAATAAAACCAACAGGGAACAGATTACCTCCATCTTTCTTTGCACCTTCCCGTCTCCTTCAGCCTCGATACCATCCAATTTCAATAACTGTCTCATCAGCATCTCAGTTAAATAAATAATATCCTTGTCATCGACCTTGGTTCCAGAATCGATAACAGCTTGTAAAGCATCCACCTACACGAACAACAGCTCTGGCATTAGGCATTCTTGTGAAGATACTAATACTGCTAATAGGAAGCATCAGAAGAAAAGAATATCAACCTGTTCCGAGAGCTTATCCACTTCTGCTCTCACTTCAGCAACTGCTTCACCTCCTCTTGATATTACACTATTTTCCTTAACCTCTTCAGGCGTTTTCTCGTTACTTGTTGTATCCTCCATAAGAAGCAATTTGGAATTGTCCTTTACACCAGCCACAGACAAATATTCTTGATCTTCTTTCTCTTTACCTCTGAACAAAAGTTTTTGCACTTTAGGCTCCAGTCCAATTACTTGGGCAATAATGTCTTTCACTTGACCTGCAATCATAACACAAAATTATGAGAATAGCAAGCCATATATACCCTTCAAAGTAATTACAAAGAAACCTTAAATTTGTAAAATCCATAATTAGGCATCATATTCCTTCATACTATATCATCATTAGAAGTTTACAACAACAAAAATTCACGAAATCTACAGTTCAATAGCATATGTCTCCAGTTTTTAAAGCAGATTGTATCAAAAGCAGCAGACATGGCATAAACAACAATGCAACACGAAATTATTCAAATAACATAGAGACCTGCACTTCACACTGTACAAATGCAAATATGCAATTGATTCTCTTTCCAACAAATTTAATAAAGACTATCCCTCAGCCTTGCATAGATAATCATAAACCTAAAAGTAAAAAAGAGAAACAAAAAGCATAAGCGAATAACTAATCAAAAACAGATAAACCTTCTTGACATCTATCACAGGGAAAACTGCATGCCAATGAAAAGAGAATCAAACCGCATTTATAAGGAGGAATGAACCCAGATTCCTAACTAGTCAGAGTTGAACATGAAAAAAAAACGTTTGAAAATCCCCTACTCCAATGATAAGTAACTACTCCTTTTGTCCCGTTACTCTTTTGGTGATCAAATGGATTAAACTTTGATACATCTAAGTTTAATTTTTGAAAATTTAAGTTATATATTGGGAAAATACACATCAAGCAGATCATCGACACACACAAACGATCCTCACCTACCCCACACCAAAAGCAAAACCAGTAAATTCAAGTAACTCGACGGCAATTCAGACAATCGCACCTGCATACAATTAGACGCAATTCCGGATATATAAAAGAGGTAAAAGAGTTAGAATACTAAACAGCTTAGAAGATACAGGGCGAAATTTAGGACTATTTCTAGTAAAACTGGGACTTCTCAAAATGTCGAATCAAATAGTTTTTTTTTTTTTTTGAAACACAGAAAAGAAAATCTACCAAAAGTGGAATCAGAGGGCACTGTGAGGTCGAGTTGCTGGGAACCATAAGAGAGCTTGACGGTAACAGTGGCGGCAGAAGGCCCACTAGAGCCATCATCTCTCTTTTGAACAATCATGCCACCTGGCCTCAAATCCCAGGCAGCGATTTCCTCACCGCCATTGCTCACTGGCTCCGAGTTTGAACAGTTCATCATCGTTCCAAAATTCTGGAATCGGGTTTAGCGCAGTTCGAATGAATAACAGAAAATAAAATACGGTTTTACAAAGAATCACCGGTGACAATGATTAAAAGGGCCAAAGCGAGCTCGGCAATGGCGTTGACATAGATTTCAGAAAGTCATAGGCCCAATTGTCTTGCGGGCTCATATACCCGACCCATACCAATGAAGTCTTGATTTTTCTTTTATTTTTAATATCCGGCATGAATAAAAATCACAAATTATTCAGTCAACCATAATTCATATTATAAGGTAAACTACTATAAATTTTTATTTTTAATACATTTAATCAGGACTATATGGTCTAATGGTACCCGGTTGGATTTCCATTTGAAAAATACTACAATGGGATAGAAACAGTAACTTTCAAAAAAAAAAAAAAAACTAAGGATAAAAGCCAAATCACGTTCCATGCATAAAACTCTTATTTATATTGAAGTTCTACTTGAACTTTATGCATATATGTCACGTTGGAAGCATTGATATGCTTAATTCCAACTTCACCCTACTCGGAAACTTAGTTGGATATTTAGAATCTCGAGTAGGTGAATCAATTATAAAAATCTCCTCTCTCACAGTATTAAATACGGTTTTTACAGGTGAAGGAAGGATCACATGCGACAGACTCGACATGTCCTCTATGTGAAATACGTAGGTCGGCTAGCTAGGAGGCAATTCCAAGTGCCACCATGATGGGTATGTAACAGACATAACGTGTTTGAGACAATGTGTCATGGGCTAAAGGCCGGACAAATGAACGGCTGGTGGGCTAAAGGCCGGACAAATGAACGGCTGGTCGGAAAATCTTTCTCCCAATCTTAAGGTGAGCACCCTGCTCGGGTTAGGAGATTGGGAAGGTGCAATGAGTCTTTGATCTCGACTTGTTAAAAGCCTAATCCAGTCGAGCATCAGAGGCCAATCAGGTGTATATGTATTATATCAAGCACATTTCTAGTTGTATGCTGTTGTGTTTTTAGATATGTTGAGCTAGTCTGATACCCAGTATTCTATTAATATGATTTATGAATAAATTCTTTATAGATGGTCTAACGATACTTATATTTACAAATTATGCCTATGCATGTTATATATAAAAGTAGATTATGATCGGAAGCCTCTAATAATAGATGTAAGTGGGAATCCTTGTGAGCAACTATAGAGACAGATTAGGATAATTTTATGCATGTTCTTTTTTTCAATACAATTTGGTGGTTAAACCATAAAATTAGTGAATTAAGACGGAATATAAGCAATATGTGATGGAACGCTCATGAACAAAAATAAAGAAAAGGAACAAATTTATAAACAAAAAAGCTCCCAAATTCTCGTTTCAAAGATAGAGAGAATAATACTCATTTTAATCAGCAGAAAACATGAAAACAGAGAGAAGTTGGCTGCTACTGAAGCTTTCTAAGCAGCAGCCTAGTTCAATAACATCTCAGCCAAATTGCCTTCAAATATCAGTTTCTGTGGGTTTTTACTGTGGGTTTGGTGGCCTGCTGTTGGCTGAACAGACCCTCGACCCCCATTCCAGCAACTCTTTGCTCGTGTCATCCTTGTGAGCAATTACTTCAATGAAGCATAGACAATCTTTCTTTGCTCCAGTTGCTGTCTCGATTGCTGCAACTAGTTCATCTTCGTAACGAACCTGCCAATGAAGTTGCGCCATGTTAGAAAATGTAATCAACCCGCACAAACAGTTCAGTTGATTTCAGATTATGAGCAAGAACACGTGATTGAATCTTAACAGTCACGAGAACTGCATTCAATATAGTGAACTCCTTCTGAGTATTAGACACTAGTCCTCGATTTTGGGAGGCTTTTTGTGGGCAAAGAAAATGTTATCTTAGGAGAAAGTGGACTAGTGTTGGTTGCTCACCTTGGTTGTCCAGCATTTGCCCTGGCCGTTGTGAATTGCATCAACAAGGGCAGTGTAATCCCAGTTCTTGATTACGTTGTAAGGTCCATCATGGATTTCAACTTCGATTGTGTAGCCACCATTATTGATCAGGAAGATTATGCTCCTCTGCCCGCATCGCAGCATCGTCGACACATCCTGAGCGGTTACCTGCAAGTATTCGCCAGAGTTATGAGGAACTGCAAAAATCACATTATTGCAATGAAGCCAAACCACATAACGCCATGATTTTCACCTGAAAACTACCGTCTCCAATGAAGGAAATCACCCGCTTCTCGGGAACAGCTTGAGCATAGCCAAGAGTGGAACCAACAGACCAACCAATTGACCCATACTGCATTTGGAACTCATACCCGCACCCTTCTGGTAGTTTCAGCTTCTGGCAATTGAACCAGGAATCCCCTGTCTCAGCAATGACGGCGGATTCACTGGACAGCATTTTCTGAACGTGCTGGAAGAGAACATTCACCCTTAATGGCTCTTTGGGCTCACATTTGACAGGACTCCCTTCAGGAACATAAATCCTGTGGTAATTTTCGTAAGCCGTCTTGTTGCAGTTGAGTCTCTTAGCCAAAGCGGAGAGGAAATCCTTCATCAGGACACAACCAAATGCAGGTCCGTTTCCGATCGTCACGCGATCAGGCTGAACGATGATCGCCTTCTCCTTCTTCAGAAGGAGGGAGTAGCCGACGGAGCTGTAGTCGTTGAAAATAGGTCCGGCGAACAAGTAAGCATCGGCGGATTCGACGATCTCAGCGCAGAACGACGTGCTAACGGCGCCCCAGTAAGTTCCGATGAAATGAGGGTGGTGTTCGGGAACTAGTCCCTTGGCCGACGGCATAACCGCCACGGCATAGCCACAAGTATCCGCCAACTCCACGAAGGATTTGCAAGCTTTCGCAACACGCATTTTTGGACCTCCCACCATAACTGGCTTTACAGCCTTGTTCAGAAACTCTGCCGCCGCTTCCACCGCGGCTTCCAACCCCATCTGATTACTCAATCTACAGTATCAATGTTAAACTTGATCAAATCCAACAGAAATCAGATCTCAATAGAAAACCACGTTATCATCAATTACTAGAGATTAAGAAAACAAAAGCATATATAGTACGTAGAAGATTGAAGAGAAACACACCGTGGATTGATCGAAAATGGAACCGGTTCACGGCTGAAGGTAGGATGTGGAATCCCTGCCAGGTTACAGCTTATGCTTATGTAAACCGGCTTACTCTCTTTCAACGACGTCGATATCGCAGTATCGATCAACTCATGCGCATCCTCCAAATTGTTCACCACGGCCTAAAATTAACAAAATTCACGATTATAGTCGCGATTTACTCGAAATACGGATTCAATAAGCGCGCGAGATAAAGAGATCGATCGTGCATTTTGAAAATGATAATGAGAATCCATACATATAAACAAATGCGATAGTGTATGGGATTGAAACCTGATAACAAGTGATGGTTTGAAAACAACGAAGCTCCTGGCTGAAATCGGGTAAGCCGATGGTGTGATGGAGGATCCGGTTGGTCCCGTAGTCATTGGAGTTGGGGCCGCCAACAATGCATATGAGAGGGAGGTTCTCGCTGTAGGCGCCGGCAATGGCATTGAGGACGCTGAGGCCTCCGACGGTGAAGGTGACGGCGCAAGCACCGACTCCGCGGGACCTAGCGTAACCGTCGGCAGCGTATCCGGCATTGAGCTCGTTGCAGCAGCCGATGAGGTTGAGCCCGGGCTCGTCAATGAGATGGTCGAGGAGCGTGAGGTTGAAGTCACCAGGGACGGCGAAGACGTCACTCACCCCTATCTGCACGAGGCGGCGAGCGAGGTGGCGGCCGAGCGTGGCGTCGGCGGAGTTGCAGTGGAAGGAGGAGTTCTGGATGGTGATGGCGCCGATGGAGGGGGCGTTGCCCACGTCATTGTTGAATGGCCTACACGTGTCAACGGATCCAATCTTCGTGTCCATAAGAGGAATTTGCAAATTTTCTTTGGGAGAAGAATTTTCTTTGTTTCTTTGTTGGGAAGGTTGTTGTGATGAGAGCGGTGATAAACGGCGTCTTATATATATATATAGCTGCCGTGAATTGGGGAAGAAGAAAAGAACACTAAAAACAAGGGGCGGTCTTGGATTCCAATTTCTGATGGCTATTTTATTTTTAGGCTGCGGACTCTCTACAGGCAAATTATATCATCTACCGTGGTGCATAATTATGCACCAAGCTTCAAAACGATGTTATTTTGCTTAATAAAAAAGAAACGGCATCTGTTTCGCATAGTTTCACAAAAATTAACTCTATTATTCAGTTTCATTTTTACAGTTTCAGTTCAACACAATTACAGTTTCATTTCGATGTAACTATAGTTTCATTCGACATTTATACACTCAAATATGTGAAAATGTTATTTAATTTTATTTTATATACACAATAGTTTCATTAAAACATAACTACATGATCATTTCGATATAACTACAGGTTCATTGCACAATATACACTCAAATATGTGAAATGTTATTCAATTTCATTTTATATAAACTGCAGTTTCATTTTTCCACAACTACAGTATCATTTCGATATAGCTGCAGTTTCATTTTATAATATATAAAATAATACGTGAGGCAGTGTCGGTTTAGATACACTGTAGTATCAGTTTAGATACACTGTAGTGTCAGTTGGTAATTAACACACAAAAAAATGCGGGCTCGGTTAACCGTAACTAGCATATACTGCACATAGTTAAAAATGTGTACTAGATAAATCCCGTATTGTAACTCTCATTCACAAAGAATCACAGGAAGATAAACTAACATATATCACACATAGCTGACTGGTCCAAAAAAAAAAAAAAAAAAAAAAAAAAACAAACAAACACACAAACAAACAAAAAAAACAAAAAACAAAACAAAAAAACAAAAAAAAAAAAAACAAAAAAAAAAAAAAAAAAAAAAAAAACTAATGGAGTACTCTAATTGAGAGATAATCTTGTAATAACATTCATTTTGAAGTTTGACAAAATTTGTCAAAATTAATTACTTATATATCCTTTTTGTAATTCATATTAAAATTATGTCCAAATATAATTTAAATATTACTTCATGCTTTTTATTTATTTTTTTCTTTCAAGTTACATTGATTTCCTTCGACATTCTATGACTGTTCGATAGTCAAGAATGTACAAGCTGATGAGTTCAAATCAACCAATAAGGCTATACATGTCACTCATGTTGAAAGTTTAACTTGTAACTTGATGATTACTATCTCAACCGTCTAACTAGCTCGATGAATGTTGTCCCTCTGATATTATATATCAAATATAGATTTTTTTTCAACGTAAGACGTCATGTTACGTCACAATTGTTGAGGTAATTTTGTATTTTTGTATGACGGTCGTTAGAGTGGAATGGTGTCACATTGTCATCAGTAGACATGCGTAAGGGATCCACACTGGTTCCTTTGAAGCTGATTGGCCCCTTGTTTGGACCACTTTGTAGAATTTTAATGACCTTGAGGTTCACTGGTATCAAGTTCTCCCATATGTTGGAGGTGTTAGGTTCGAATCTCAGTGGAGGCGTAACTTGTATATGTGAGTATCCCCTTCTTTTGTAATAAAAAAAATTCTCACTTTTCAAATAAAAAAGTACTTATGCGGCAAATTATGCTGTGCAACCGTATGCACGTGCATACGCGTCTAGATTTATAATTTTTTATACTGTAGATATTATGGTGCGCGCACTATAAGATATAGCAATTATATTAATACTTTTTTTTTTGAAAATTTTCTGCGGTGCTTCATTAGAAAAATGCTGAAATAATGTCTGGTGGGTGAGTATCCCAGTACATAGTATCAGGTTGCTGATAAGCCGTAGTGGCTAAAGCATGAGCTAAATAATTGTCCGATCTAGAAATATAATTAAAAGAACATGAATACTTTATTACTTATAAAATATTTAAAAATAAAGAAGAAATAAATTTTGAATAAAAATAAATATCTAATGAGTTAACTTTTTATGTAACTTGTTATTTGCCCAATCTTAATCTTATTTTTCACCTATTACAAAAAGTGATTTAAAATTTAAATTGACTTTTATTATGAAGTGTGTACTTTGAATTTTAAACTTGTCAAAATGTGAACAATTTAATAATACATACTTTTAAAGTGGTTTTTAAATATATAATGTTTATACATTAATACCAAACAAAATATTATAAAAAGTGAATTAATAAATAATTTTTATAAAGTCTCACTAACCAAACTAAATATATAAAATGAGATAAATGAGAATATTCAACAAGGTAACAAAAACATTACAACCATAAAGTACTTATAGTCATATATAGATGTGAACTTCACTAAAAAACAATGTATTTCTTTATAAGGTTGTTAATATTCCATTCGTTAAGATGGGATATTTGATATTACATTATGTTTATAATTATAATAAATAGGGTTGTACACTTACTATTTCAATAGTAAAATATAAATAGCTTAACTTTATAATTTTAGTTATAATATAATTAAAGATAAGGGTTGAGAGAGGTGAAGTCCTCTTGAGTTTCTATAGTTTCTCCAATGTTTCGTGGATTATTTCTGGATCTATATTGCATAACCTTGCAGCACAAGTCAACAACGCAACTTTTCACTTTATAGAAAAGTGAAAGAAATGACTCGAAAAGAGTGATGAATTTGATATTAACATGATTAACCTACAACGTGATTAAGTGGAAGGGATTTATTAATTCTTAATCAAAAGGTAATTCTTAACTCAAGCCAGCTGTTTCGCTTAAAAAAATTACCTACAACATGATTACCATAATAAAAATATAAGTTTAATTTATAATGATTCTTAATTAAATTTATTATATATAGTCTTTTTAGTTCGTTTTTTTTTTTATTTGTAAGTTAATACAATTATTATTAATATTTTTCCATCGAATTCGTCTTACACAATCTTTTAATATAATTTTTTTTTTTTTTATAAATTGCAGGTTAGGAAGTAATTTTCTCTCAAAAGTTGAATCTCTAATCCTAACTATCCCTACATTTTAATCTGACATAATATTTGAAAGGAAGTAAATCATGGTAAATTATTGACTTAGTAGACAAGGTTGAGAAGTAATTTTCGTTGCCGCTTGGAAGTCAAAAACCATTGATTTGAACCGGAAATGCGTGCGCTAGTTTAATTTATAAACCGGCGTCGGCACAAATTTCATTTTATTTTATTAAAAAAAAAACATTAGCATATACCACACCACTATAATTCACTGTTCATTTGTTCAACCAGAAAAAAATCAAATTTGATTTGTATTTCCATTCAATTTCAATAATATATATATATATTAAATTCTCATAAATATCTCATTTGTTTCCCACTATATAATGTTTTGGTAAAAGAAATATGTACTGGTCTTGTATATTTATTTGCAAATATTATGTAAACTGTAAAGTTTAATGTAATGTGATATTATCAATTAAAAAAAACACAGATCAATCACTATCTAAGTATCTATTAAGACACATATGTGGACTTTCAAATCATGTTTTTGGAACGTTTCAAACTTTGATACTAAATTAGTAACTCTTAAAAATTTGCACCATACATTAATGAGTTGTTTGGTTGGATGTTGTTGCAATTTAATTACATAATAATTCTTTGACCACTTAAATTACAGTGTTTTTTTTTTGAAAGCCAACCAATGAATGATTGTATTAATGAATCAAAGCTGCAATGCAGTCTGGAGGGATAGAATCCCAATACATAGCTTGATCCTGAATAAAAGCTAATGAAGCTAACGTGTGCGCATGCGCATTAATCTGCCTAGAAACATGATTAAACAAGACATAATTAAAATACGAAGCTAAAGTCCTACACTGGTCAACTACTACTCCAATATAGGACATTATAATAGTTGTATTCTGCCGTATCGCATTCCTCAGCTGTAAACAATCTGTTTGAATCGTTACCGTTGTTATATTCTTTTCCAAAAGCCAGGATAGAGCTTCCTTACATGCCAGTGCCTCCGCTATGAATGGTGACAAACAATTCGATAGTCTCCCATTTTTCGCCGCAATAAAAGTTCCTCCCGGAGACAGCAGCACAATACCATATGTAGCTTCCCCCGTGTCCTCCCGATACCCCGCATCCACGTAACACCGTGGGGTGGAGTCGATGTCGCCATCTGCCGTAGTCGTCGTGGGAGCCGCCGTGCCACGGCACATGACCTGCCGGTAGGAGTGGAGCGCCGCCGTGGCCTGTCTCCAGGCCGTCGTAGGCCGCGGCAGTGTACCGTCCCATACCGCTGAATTCCTGCATCTCCATAAGCAATAAAGCAAGGCCACCACCGCTGCACTTTGGTCCTCTGTGAACATCGTAAGCACAATTGTTAGCCACTCGGGGAATGAGTTGACAACAATATTTGTTATTGGCAATCCTGAAATATTCCAAACATGTCTAGAATAATCACAATTGATGAATGTATGCATAATATTCTCATGCTCTATCCCACACATTTGGCATGTGGGATCCACCTTCCACCCTCTTTATAATCAAGTTGTTAGTAGTTGGAAGAATATCACAAACTGCTCTCCACAAAAAAGTCTTCCATTTTGGGGGTATTTTCATCCCCCACATTTTAGTCCATTTCTCAAAACTCCCAGGCGAGTGATCATAAATTCCCATAATGTGTCTGTAGGCATTTTTAACTGTGTATATCCCATTGGGGTCATCAGGCCAATACCATGAGTCCTCATATCCTGGATTAACAGGTATCCTCAATATTCTACTCACATCTTCCTCCTCAAATAAATCTGCTAAAATATGTGGGTCCCAGGTAGCAGTGTGCTCATCTATTAAACCTACCACTTTAGCGTGCCTGAGCTCTACAGGCATATCAGTCTGCACCAAAGGGCTAGGATTATCAGGCAACCACGGGTGTCCCCAGATCAGTGTTGTTTTACCATCCCCTATCCTTCTACGCACCTGTGCCACCACCATATCATGAGCTGCCATAATACTCCTCCATGAGTGGCTCGGGCATCCTCCTACTTTGGCATCAACAAAAGTGGTATTAGGATAGTACCTTGCCTTATAGACTTTTGCAACAAGTGTGTCTGGACTTGTGAGTAGGCGCCATGCCTGTTTTCCCAACATTGCTAAATTAAAATTCTTGAGATCTTTGAACCCCATTCCTCCATATTTCTTTGGGATACTTAACTTATCCCAGGCTTTCCAGTGTATTCCTTTATCCATACCAGTGCCCCACCAATACTTGTTCATTGCTCTCTGGATTGATAAGCATACTGAGTCCGGGATCAAAAAGACACTCATTGAAAAGGTGGGCATAGATTGTGCCACACTTTTCAATAAAATCTCTTTTCCTGCATGTGTCAGAAATTTCTTGTTCCATGAGCCTATTCTCTGTTTTATCCTATCCTCAATATATGAGAATACTGCCTTCTTGTTCCTTCCCACAAAAGATGGTAGTCCCAGATATTTTCCAAAATTGGGTGCCTGGTCTACGTGCAAGCAAATCGCCACCTCTTCCCTATCATCCACACTGGTATTTCTGCTAAAACAGACACTGGACTTGTGATAATTTACCTTTTGTCCTGAGAGCTCCTCATATCGTCCCAGGCACTGTTTAATTACTCCCGCCTCCTCCCCATCTGCTCTAAAAAATAATAGGCTATCAATATCTGCGGGGCTCCCCTAGCAACCCTGCAACCATGTATTAAACCAGATATTTGCGCTCTTTGCAATAACACAGATAAACCTTTGCACATATGAGGAATAAATATGGGGACAAAGGATCCCCTGCCGCAACCCCCTGGTTGGCGTTACACCCCCACTATGAACACCATTAATCAAGATGTTATACTGGACAGTAGTAACACACTGCATTAACAAATTAATCCACCGGTCCTCAAAACCCATTACCTCCAACATCCGTCTCAGGAACTGCCATTCCATCCTATCATACGCCTTGGCCATATCCAATTTCAATGCTGCCCACCCCTTCCTTCCACATTGTTTTCTATTCAAGTAATGTCCCACCTCCGCAGCTATTAAAATATTATCAGTAATAAGTCTCCCAGGGATAAAAGCACTCTGAGCCTCAGAGATGAGGTTCCCCATGAGCGGTTTCATCCTATTGGCTATTACCTTTGCCATGATCCTGTACAGAACATTACTCAGTGCTATTGGTCTCATATCAGCTATTGTCTCAGGCACATCTTTCTTCGGGATTAAGACCACATTAGTATCATTCAATCCTTCAGGCAACGAGCCTGAGTTCAAGCAATTCACAATAAATTTAGACACATCTCCCCCCACAATATCCCAATATTCCTGGTAAAACCCAGGATTCATACCATCCGGTCCTGGTGCAAATCATTTTGTTGAATTACAATTCATACCTTTACCCATATGAATTGTAATTCAATGGGGAAAGGAAAGTGAAACAGGAAGAAAATGACTTTTCTACCCCGATTATTATTATTACACAAAAATATTTTAGTTTTTATATCACTTATTCTCTTCTCATTCACATTAATTTTATCCATTCTTATCAAACAATGTAATTTGAATTCCTACTGACTATATTACAATGTAGTATCTATTCATAACTACTTTCTCAACCTACTAAAGCACAAATATTTTTTCACCGAATTACAAATTATTTCCCCCTAGCAAATTCCTTCCTTCCAACCAAATTAAACGCCATGTAAGAAGTGAATATACTCACATTGAGAGTGACTTATTATTGGTCTTCTTGGTTTGAGCCGATCAACTATAGACAACTTAAACGGGTTTATTTATTTGCAATCCTTTACTAGTTAAGGTAATTGCAATGCGTGATTTACTCCGTGTACACTCTTGAATAGTGACTGCGAGTTTTTATCATTAAAAAAAATTATTTATTAATTAAATACGAATTGTATATTGTGAGATAGATGGTGAAAACTTTTGATCCATATTGCATTATTGATCCCATATGGCCATATATTGCCATTTTCACTTATAACACTAACTGTTTGGAATAACATTTATAGAAATAGACGTATTGTGTCCTTTGATAAGTGATTTTATTTTCAATGAGGAGCTAGGGGAATAGTTATTTGGAGAGAATATGATATTATTTAAGCGTGGTGCAGGGTAATGTATCATCATAAACCGGGTTCTGAGATTCCTATGTGGTTGGCGCAGACAGAAAGCTGCAGGGAGAGGCGCATTGGTCGCGGATGCGCGGGCCGACCGTCAATGGAACAATGACCGACGAGACGAATTCATTGAATCTGTGAGCTTAAGGTTTGACTTGATTTTGAAGGCTTGAAACCGCAGGCGATCGCCGATGAGAAAAAGGCATGTTCCAGTGAATCTGAATATGCATGGGACCCACACGTGTCCTGCATGCAAATAACCATACTGTACAGACGAAGAGTATCGAACTATTTGTTAAGATCAAGCCATTTCTATTATACACCAAAAATTATAGCTCACAGTAAAAATATAATTTTATTTCTTCGTTCAATTTTTAAAAGGTATAGGTTCTGTTTGGTAAAAAATTGGTCTATAGACCAATTTTAGTTTATTTAATAACTATTAATTGTTTGATTTAGTTAAAATATCAATATAAATGTTTGGTTAATTAGTTTTTTGCAACTCCAAAAGGTTAAAATTTAAAATGCTACTCCAAGCAACTTTTTCAATTAACTTTTTGAAAAAATAAATTATACTAAACAGCTATCAGCTAACAGTTAATTTACCAAATATTTTTCTACAATCAGCTAATGTTATCAACTATTTATACCTTATAATTAACACAATCAGCTAACAACTAACAGATATCAACTAACAACCATTTTACCAAACAGAACTATAATAGTGTTGGATTTGGCCTTTCAGACTTTTTCACAATAATCTCTTGGTGACTCTTCACCAACCTACGTCTAATATAATTACACTTTCTATTACTAGCCGACTAGCTGTGGGTTTCTATAATTGTCCAAAAAATAATATTAATTTATTTACTGGAATATATCTGCGCCGTCTTAAAGTTAATTTTTTATTTTCTCCAAATAATTACAGTTAATTTATGCAATATATCTACTACGTCATAAAGTTATTGTTTAAAAAATTTATTTATTCAAATAATAGCAGAACTAATTTAACGGAATGTATCCTCGCCGTCTTAAAGTTAATTTTTAATTTTCTTAAAATAATTACAATGTTAATTTATAAAATATCTACGCCATCTTAGAAAAAATAAATAAATAAAAAGAAGCTAGGCTGGTATACACAAATAAATAAAAATATTGAATTCAAAGATGATGAGCTATGCCAGTGGAGAGACAATAAGATAATGAAGTGATATCTACTATAAATGGTGTTGTCTTCTGCTTTGCAAAGCGATTTGTAAATCGTGCTGCCCATGTTATTACTAGGAAAGCCGTTTCTATGTCTGATTGTGAGGAGTGATTTGATGATCCTCTTCAGTTTATTTTTAAGAGGTGAAGACCGGAGAGTGGAAAGTATAAGCGAAATATGTTCAGTTCACAAGTACACATTAAAATATGGCTAGTTTATAAGTAAACATATTAATTATAGCAGTATTAACTATATTGAGAGCATTCCTAAGAGTTAAAAGTTGTTCACAAATTTTAAGAAATGAAATAAGATGGAGGAAGGAAAAAAAAAAACAGATATATACAAAAAAGTAAAAAAAAAAAAAAAAAAAAAAAAAAAGTCATAGTGTTTTACGTGCACCTATAGAAGGTATATTTTATTTTTCCTCCATGTTGTAAATCTCACAAAAAATTAAGGGGGTGTATTCAATCATGATTTTTGTAGAGTTTTAAAAACTTTTATGAACTTTAAAAGTTTAGATGTATTAAATTTAAACTTTTAGCGAGTATTTAAAAGTTAGACGGTATTCAATCAAGATTCTTAAAGAGTCATTAAAAGTCGTGTGGTATTCGATTAAGATTTTTAAAGAGTCTTTAAAAGTCATGTGGTATTCAGAAAGTTATGAATTTTTGTGGACTTTTTAATTTTAGGACTTTTGTAGACTTTTCCTTCTCAAATATACATAGTTGAAATCCAACCATCAACCCCAATATTTCAAAATTTTCTTTCTAACAACTCTGAATGTTTTCTCTCTCTATTTAAACTCTATTTTTTCTCCATATTTAAACTTTGTAAACCTATCTAAATTTAATAAAATTATTTTTTTCTTCATTATCCATATTTTCCTCATACCTAAACTCTACCATTTTTTTTCTCTCTCCTGAACTTTACAATCTTTCTCTAAAAATTCAAAATAATATTATTTTTAGTTCATTATTGCTTGTTTATATATATATATATATATATATATATATATATATATATATATATATATATATATATATATATTAATATTAGATTTTAATTTTTTTTTATTTTATGGAACTTGTAATTATATTTTTAAATATTTTATTTGATCAATTCTTTTATTATAAATTTTATTGTTCAATATTGTTATGAATTTATAATGAAATAATTTTTTTTTTATGTTTATTAATAATATATATAAGTAATTAGCATATAAGTCTCAGCATACTATAGATAAAAATAATAATGTTGAGAATGTTGTTGTGAGTGAAAAACTATATAATAAGAAGAATTTTATGATATATTATAAATGTTTTGTAAAAAAATTATAAATGATAAGATTCAAAATTATTATTCCAAGGCTGAACCCCAACCTTAAGGACCCCCCACACCCCGGCCCAACAGAGCATTTTGGGAGGATGTAAATCATGGTGACTCAATTGAACATGAACCATAGAGGCTAGACCGGTGCTCACTGCGCACAAGGAGCCCCCCTCACTTTGAGAGATTGCTCCCACACTGCCGCTGGTGAGACTCGATCCCTGGTCATTATTCTAAAGTTTCACCTCTATGACCAGTTGAGCTACCCATGCGGGCATAAAATTCAAAATTATTGAAAGTTTGTAAGGATGTATTCAATCTAGAATCTCAATGACTTTTGTAGACTTTTTAAAATAAAAAGTTGATAAAAGTCTATGAATGTTTTTTATATAGACTTTTATAGAGTCTTATAAAGTTTTGAACTGACTCTATAAAAGTCAATCAAAGTTTATTAAAATCTATCATTTTAAAAGTCATTAAAACTCTACAAAAGTGATGATTGAATACACCCCCTAAACTAAGTTTTGAAATAATTCATTTTTCATCTCTCTCCGCTTACATCTTTCCTCCAACCTATATAAATCCGCAAAAACTATGTAAATACTTTTGAGTAATAATTATCTTGAGAAGATAAAATATTATATTATTGATTATAAAATTAAGAAAAGGTATATATAGTTGCTAGAAGCATTTTAAAATTATTTTAGTTTTGCAAAAATAATACAATTAATCATCAAAGTCACATGTTCGGGAGTGGAGCTATCTTAAAGTTCATAAAGAGTGTTTGTCAACCTAAGATTGTACTGGAGATCTATGGTGTATGGTTCTAGTTTATTAATTGAAAAAATTTGTAATTAGATTAAAAATATAGACAACAATCTTGTAGTCTAATGGCACTAAGTTGCTCCCTTATAAGGGAGGTTATGCGATCGAATATTGGCTCTTTGTGCTTCAATAGGTTGAGAAAGTAGTTATGAACAGATACTGCATTGTAATAAAATCAGAGTATATATATATATATATATATATATATATATATATATATATATATATATATATATATATATATATATATATATAAAATTCAAATTATTTGTAATTTTATTTTTTTTTAGATTCTTGCAATTGGAGTTGTCTAATGACTTCTTGGTTTGAGTTTGAACCAGTTAGCTAGGGTTGATCTTACACTCTATAAGCGTAGCATATTGTCCTCTTAGTTTGAGCTAGTCTTACAATTTTTTATCTGCTAATTGAACTTTACCCAAGCTTATTTTTAGACAGTGACAACAAACTTTCTTTTTCCATTCTTGCTTATTTGAATTATTTCAACATTAGGTAAAGTTTAAAGACTCATTTAACCCTTCTTCCTATATTTTTATTGAACTAATCACTTGTGGACTAATGTTGATGTAATAAGCACCATTATTGCTTCTTTTTCATTTTCATGTTTCTTGCTTCTACAATGCAGTGGGCGGGTGTGTTGCATGCACGTTAAGTTCTCCGTACATAATAAAGACTAAATGCAAACGACAAGGACAGAATTCGGCGCAATGCACGTTCCACATACTGCTGCCTGTTCCCCCAAACTGCGGTGCGGTATTCAAATTCAGCTTTAAGCAACAATCTGGCGGGATAAATTACACTTGCCCACAGTAAAGTTTACTGTACTACTGAAAGCGCATCACATTTTCCATGACTAAACGGCAAACTTCATATACTCACTATTCATATATATATTTACCTTTCTCGACTGCTAAATTACACGGATTTTAAGTGAAAAATGAAAACCCGATAATGGCGCCTTCTAATCAGCTTAGCTTGCGAGGATGAAGAAATTGTTACACTATATGGCTTGTAATTAGTTGGGTGGGTGGGTGGGTGGGTTATCGAGCTGAAGGATTTTGTTTGGTCTTGGAGAAATGAATGTCCCCGCTAAGTATAGCACCTATAAATTTCTCTGCGTCCTCTTCCGTCACTTCATCTTTAAGCACCGCAAACTTTCCTTTACGCGGTTTGTAGGCAAGCAAGAGGCGATCTGTGGATTTAAAGCCTGATTTGTCAAATGCCTTTAAAAATGACTCCTGCTTGGCAGCATCCAGAAGAGCATAGGAAATTGAATCTCTGCGACCATTTGGAGTGTTCTGCCGTCTCACTAAAGATTTCTGGGAGACCTTAAAAGGATAAAGAAATATTATTATATAGCTTGAGAAAAAAATGCACTAAAAGTCCTTTAAATTGAACTAGAAAGTTTAGTGGCTTACCGACAAGAGAATCTTTTCGAGCTTAGCCCTTGATTTGGAGGACCTGAAAACACCAATTATGCAGACAGGAGAATTCTCCCCGCAAATATCATCTATGTTTGATCCTGTGAGAAGCGGGATTTGTTTAAACTCTGATTCAGCTTGTGATGGTCCTACCTTCTTGTTCTTCTTTTCAAAATTCTCTAGTAAACCACTTAAATCTTGAATAGCAGATTTCAGGTCTTTTACGGAAATCCCAGTCTTCAAAATATGCTTCTCCCTATTTGCCAGCCAGCCAACAACTGCTGGAAGAGCATCAACCCCTAACTTTTTCACAGCTGGATCAGAAACATCATGAACCTGTTCAAAATGAAGATATCTGTTACTACTCATTACATCATATGAATAAGAAAAATCAATGAAGTTGAAGAATTCTTGTACAACTTGATCAAAGATTATCACAATAGTATTATGTCATTACCTCTGCATCATAGAAAACAAGACGTTTTCTATACAAGCCACTAAGAGCCCTCCAGATAACCGGAGTGTCTTTTTTTGTGGAGAGGAGCATCACTTTTGGTAAACCTCCAGCAGCCTCGGAAGCAAAATCAAAGTGATTCAAGTTGACACGTTTTGAGAATCTGGGCAGATGCTCTTGACAGAAACTTTTCAAGCTTTTAACATCTAAATCACCATGGTACTCTAACATGGAACCGGTTTCCAATGATTTAAAGGAATAAATAAACAGTTTTGGTGCATTGCGAGGATGTATGCCAAGCTCCTTGCAAAGAGATGCATCAGTTTTGCAATTTACCTTTCCTACCTGTTATTAGACAAATCATTTTAGTAAACATACCAGATAATAGGCATACACTGTCAATGATAACTAAACCTCCCCTTCACCAACACCCCCTCCTCCAAAAAAAAAAAAAGAAAAGTACCTTCAGCACTCCTTGTAGTGAGCTGGCAACTTCACCTATAATAGATTCATAAGATTCAACATCTTTTACATTTGATGTATAAGATAATAAGAGCCAAGTTATGCCTTTATCAGCTATTTCGTTCCTGTATGTTTCTGAATTTATAGAAGGGATACTCTTCACAGTACTCCTTGTTCCAGACTGAGACCTCCCTGAACTACTAAAACCACCAGATTGACTTCCACCTCCCATGCCACCTCCAAAGAAGTTGGTGAACATATCATCCAACCCAAAACCAAAGGAGCCTCCTTGGCTACCAGCACCACTAAAAGAAAACGAAAATGATTTTGAACCTCCTTGTCCACCCATATTTTGCCAACTGCCAGGCTTGAAATTAAACCCATTTTGTCCTGGTCCACTTGTGAAATATGTATATTCACCATGGTCTCCACCACTTCCACCAGCAAACCCAGGAGCTCCCTTCTCATCTCCATAGAGGTCATAGTTCTTCCTCTTTTCTTCATCAGAAAGAATATCATATGCTGAAATGATTGAATAGAAACCACAAATCAGCATCTCAACCAAAAAACAAAAAAGGAAAATGACAATTTATAGGGTTTATCATATTTGCTAGGGAAAAAAAAGAAAGAAAGAAAGAGATACGTGGCCTAGAGATAAAGATATAAATTCAAATAGATAGAAGATAAGAGATGGTATGAGGTTAATGCTAATATTCCTAAAAATAGCAATGGAAGGATTTTAATTCTTAAGCAAGTCAAAGAATCATCAGCATCACAAATATCCACATTGATTCAATTAATAGAAAACTCAAATAATACCAACTGTTTGATTTTTTTCAACAAATCCCTCTTTTGGCTGTGGGAAAGTTGTTCAGATAGAAAATATTAAATGCCAATGTACCATTATTAATCTCAGAAAACTTCTCTTGTGCCCCCTTTTCTTTGTTTTTATCTGGGTGATATTTCAGGGAAAGCCTGCCAAAAGAGAAAAAAAAAAAAAGAAAAAAAAAAAGAAAAAAAAAAAAAAAAAAAAAAAAAAAAAAAAAAAAAAAAAAAAGAAAACATGATTACAGCTAAGCATGTCACGGGAAACAAAAACTGGAAGAAAATAACATTCAGTTATATTCCCTTATATAGGATACACAAACTGAAAATAAAAAAATAAAAGGAGCTCAATAATAAGAAAGAAGAAGCACAAAAAGCACATACTTATGGAAAGCTTTCTGAATCTCCCGTTGACTTGCATTTTTGTCAACCCCAAGCACCTAATACAAAATAAAAGAAAAAAAAAATAAGCAAGGAGATGTAAATACTGAACTCAGCAATGATACTATTAGTATTAGTAGTAACAATTACTAAGAAATTTATATAATTAATACTTTGCAGCTATAGGAATTTCATATCAGAAAAGGATCATGGTCTTTGCCTGATTAGTCACATGCCTGGATAATGAGGAAAAGGTTTTCAGCTATGAGTAATCCTATATTCCTATGACCGGGAACACATCCATCTGCATTAATGAATTCTGTTTGTTCTACATGTCTTTTTTGAAGTATCTTTATTTTAAATTCATTCAAAACCAATTATGCAAAATAGCATTGCTTTTTTCCAATTAAAATATTGAAGTATATCAAATCAGAATGTAGAAATGAACATGAAATCTTAGACAGAGTATTATTCTTGCTAGTTCTTCCAAAATGCTTATTCCTTCTGAAGCCGCTATTGGTCACACTAACACAGTACAAAACAAGATTGTTGCAGAATCCACTCGGTTGCAATGAGAGAAGGCATTGGCACCCCCAATCCCCCTCAATCATTCATTTTTTCCCTATTTCAGATTTTCAGTCAAGCAAATTCATGAAATTAAAATGATAAATATTGAGATAGCAATATGTAAAGCAAATTTTCTTCCAGGAATTTAAACAAAGTTACTAATTTCTTCTCTCCTGGAACAAAATATGCAATTCCTGTACAATATACTATTCAATACAATCGCATCACCTAGTGTCTAGGTAATATAAACATAAATTCCACCGTACAAGCATATATTACTGAAAATGAGATATATATTCTTCGATTTTCTCTCTAAAAAGCTCCTATACCGTCAGTTAAGAGACAGAATTTTCTCATTTGCGCACCAGCAACAAAAGAAATTCGGAAATTAAACTAAACAAACGCCATTCATAGGAATTAAGGCAATATGAATGCGAAGGAGGAAAACACGAAAACAGGGATAGATCAAAGTGACTTGCCTTGTAAGGATCAAGGGTTTTTGATTCTATGCTAAACAGAGATAATGCAAATGCAAATAGAATTGCAGCTGATATTAATCGCGTCCTCATGGCCTGGTCTAATAAGCAGTGACTGCAATGATTCCGATCCTCGTCCTAGCTCCAATTGTAGTTCCCGGCGAATTTCTGAAGTGTAAAGTTTTACAGACAATTAACGGAGAATGGGGTCGCAATTAATATATTTCGCTTGTCGGAAATTCCAGATGATTCTGTGTATACGTGGCAGGTCAAAAGAGTTCCACGACTTTGGACCAATAGGATTTTAGAATTTATTTTGTGTGATGCGTTAAAAACTTTCGAATATATTTTTAAAAAATAGTAGTATTAATTTTTTTTTTTTTTAATGTTACTGACCTTATTACATTGTAGTATCTATTCATATATTTTCTCAACCTACTGAAAAACCAAGAACCAATAACACCTCCAATAACGTCCGCAGCTGCCCCCCACCCAGCTCCGTACCGGAACCCATAAGAATGCACAAAAACCACCTAAACAATGCACAAATCGGACTAAACAAGTGCACACTACGCAGTAACAACCATACATTCCTCCCCAAGGCCCCAACCACGCACCACACTCCCACCGAATAAAAGAAAAGGAACACTGTACTAACACAAAAAAAATAATAATAATAAAAATTCAAAGACTTACCTTACCACGAGCAACTAAAAAAAAAAAATTACAATGCACCAAACAAATGCACACATCATCCTAAACCACTAAACTTATTCTTGATGGGATTCTCTCTAATAGGCGAATTTGTTCAAAAATTTTTCCAATGTTTCGCGATACTTTCCAATAAATTTGCGACTCCAATGACAGGATGTTGAACTCAGTAATATTGGTGTATAATTTTTCTCAATAAGATCTTTAATCCCTACCAAACTGAATAATTTTTCTCAATAAGATCTTTAATCCCTACCAAACTAATTCCCAATCGTCAGGAGCCCGCCGGAGTGGCGGAGGTGGCGTTACGGCAGCCTCTCCAACCCTCGTGGAGTGCCTCGACTGTTTCCCCTCCTCATTTGGTTGCTACAAGTTTTGGAGGTGATTCTTGGATTACAGTGCTGCAATGCATGGAGTTCCAAAGGAATCCCAAAGGAATCCTGAAGCATTCATGCAAGTCAAAATCCTAATAGACAAATTGTAATTCTACCATAATTACAAGTTTTAACATATGTGTTTTCAAAAAAAAAAAAAAAAGTTCTAACATATGCATTAAAAATTAATACAATTTTAAAGGCACACACAATTACAACTTCACACATGTAAATTAATTATGAAAACAAATATAACAAAAAGAAAACAAAACCATTAAAATATATTTATGGACAATCATGATGTGTTCTCGTATTTTCATGTTGGAAGGTGTTATCATATGAACATAAATCACATATATGTATGATTATTTTTAATATAATCAAAATAAGTAGTATCATCTTGTAATAAAAAGTAACACATATACGAAGTAATAAAGAATAATATTGTGGTAGATACAGGGACGGACGGACATGCTAAATACAGGGGCCTTGGCCCCCCCAAAGAAAATTTCTTTTATTAACACTGGTATTGGCAAAAGATTTAGAGGAACAAGGTAATTGGGGCTTTGGGCCCTTGGCCCCCCTCCCCCCTCCAAAAAAAATTATTAGTAGTATATTATTATTGTTTGTAGCCCCTTCGCCCCTCACCAAAGTATTTTTATTCTCCAAACAAAAACTTTCAGGCTAAGATTTCAAAATCTTATTTGATTCCAATAGTTATGTTGTGGACACAATTTTATATTCATAATTACTGAACTATATGTTTATAATTATAAAGTTATATATTCATAATTTTTGAACTTCATATTCATAATTATTAAACTTTATATTCACAATTACGGAACTCTATGTTCATAATTACAGAACTATGTATTCATAAATATAAAGCTATATATTCATAATTTTTGAACTTCATATTCACAATTATTGAATCTTTATATTCATAACTACAGAATTATATGTTCATAATTATGTTCACAACTCTATGTTCATAATTATAGAACTATATGTTCATAACTTTTGAACTATATATTCATAATTATGAATAGTTTTGGAACAATGTCCACCTTACAAGGTAGACACGGTTCCACAGCATAATTTGCCATTTGATTCGCAACTGGCCTTGCCAAGAATATGATTTCTTCTTCTTGAACATACACAATCACATATTGTCTAAAAGGCTTCATATTTCTTATTCTTTTTTTGTTTCCCAGATTCATTTTTCTAAAATTAATGAATTTTTTTCTTATTGATCCACACTTTTGATTTGAATTTGTTTAAAGGGTTCTGACAATGTTTATATGTGAACTACCCATATTTAAGAAATGTTTGCTCTTTGGTTAATGGTGATTCCTTGTGGACTGACGGCTCACGGCTCTTGATCATTTAGAATTGATGATGTTTGCAAGTTGGTGGAGAAATTTTACCCTCAAGACTTTATAATATAATGATGTATTTTGGACTATGTTAAATGAATATTAATGTATTTAATTATTCTCTTTCAAATTGTGAATAGCCCCCCACACCAACAAATCCTGGCTCCGTCACTGGGTCGATAGTTTGAAAATAAAAATTGTGTCGTAATAATTAGGCTTCTTACAGTGATCATTTATAAGTTGGTAAAAGTAAATATAAATTATGTCCTAATAATTTAATCTTAAAATAAATGAATTCTCCTTTATATTTTTAAGTGCTATATTTTTCTTATAAAATTGATTAGATAACAATTTTTTGCATTTATATCTCAAAGGCGGATACAATTTTGGTCAAATACATAGTAGATTATAACATACAATAACACATAATTCTTAATTTAAGCAATATAGTTTTGGAATAGAAAAATAAATTTTGTGTTTCAATGAAGAATGTTTGAGTTAAACAAAAAGATATAATACACTCTTAAGATAATTTTGTATTAATGATGAAGACTCGAAAATATATCTTTCACATTTTTTAATAGTCAAAAGAAACAAATTAAATTAAGTAAATATTATTATATTTTAATCCTTACCACGAATGAGAAAAGGGTTGCAAACATAATTTTTTTCCTTAAAAAAAAAAAAAAAAAAAAAAAAAGGAATGTCATGAGTTTTTTTGTTTTTTTTTTTTTTTTTGTTTTTTTTTTTGTTTTTGTTTTTGTTTTTGTTTTTGTGTTTACTAATTTGAATGTGATGATAACAACAACAGCAACAAAATGGCCATTATTATTGATACGGTTACAATGCTATAAAATACATTAGAATAAGTTAAGTCAATAATAATAATAATAATAATAATAATAATAATAATAATAATAATAATAATAATAATAATTCATTACTAAAGTTTGTACATAAAGAGATTACAAAAATATGATACATTTACAAATATCTTATGATTGTATAAAAAAAAATAAAAAAAAGGAGTTAATTTCATTTTTGGTCATGGATTTATAGGTGACAATTCACTTTTAGCCCACTTTTTTTTCTTTCCAAAACATCCCTTTTTGATCCTAGTATTATTGTGGCATGACCATTTTTTTTAAATCCTATATCAACAAAACAGTTGGAATGCCATTAAATATAATGGCATTTCAGTCTTCAATTATGATTTTTTTTTTTTTCAAATTGATAAACATAAAAAAAAAAAATAACGGATCAACACACTATGTATTAAAAAGATCAAAATGTCCTTGTATTTAATGACATTTCAACGATTTTGTTGATGGAGAACCAACAATGGTAATGCCACAATAATACAAAGACCAAAAGGGGATGTTCTGATATTTAAAAAAAAAAAAAAAAAAAACTAAAAGTAGACTGTCACCTATAAATCTATGATAATAAATTGAATTAACTAAAACAAAAATAACTCAAAAACTTATTAATACACATGATTACACAAAAAATATTTTATATACCCATTAGAACATTCACAATATTGACTATTAAGTAAAGTCTGTGGGCAAAGATATACAAAGATTAATTTATTATACAAAAATTGGCATATTTGATAAATAAAACAATGAATGTAAACTTTTGACAAAATAAAAATATAAAAAGAAATTCAATTTATTAAAAAAGCCATTTGACAAATATGAAAATTGGAAAAAGTACAGATATGTCATTGAACTATTTGGGGGATAGCAATTAAGTCACCAAATTCAAATAAACTCCAAATTCATCCATAAACTTGAAAAAAAAAAATGCAATTAGCATTTTTAGTAGGTTAACAACAGGTTTGAGTTGCCATGTGTATATTTATTTTATATTTTATTATTTTTATTATCCTACTAAGCATTTGACAATCTTTCTGGATGTCATTTTTCCTGATTTTATTTTCTGACGGGTACTGTATTTTAAAAATAATTTTTAAAATTTATTTTAATAATGTCAAATAAAATAATTGTTTGTTTAAAAAATAAAAAAAATAATTATTTTGAAAAAAAAAAACAAAAAAAAAAAAAACAAAAAACCAGCCTTGCTGGAGACGAAGGGGACCCCTTGGTTTCCATGGCCGACCCTTCATCTTTGTGGCTAGGCGGAGAGAAGGGGTCCCCTCTCGTCTCCATGGCCAGCTGGAGAAGAAGCAGTGGGGATCGCCTCATCTCCGACCATGGTTGTTTTTTTGTTTTTTTTTTTCAATTTCAAAATAATTATTTTATTTATTTTAATTTTTTAAATAATTATTTTATTTAAAATTATTAAAATAAATTTTAAAAATTATTTTTAAATATAATACCCGACACGTCAGGGAATTCGGAAAACATGGCATCCGGGAAGATGGTCAAATGCTTAGTAGGATAATAAAAATAATAAAATATATACATGGCAACTCAAATCGGTTGTTAAACTGTTAAAAATGCTAATTACATCTTTTCTCAGGTTCATGAATGAATTTAGAGCTTATTCGAGTTCAGTGGCTTAATTGTTATCCCCAAATAGTTCAATGGTCTATTTATACCTTTTCCATGTGAAATATGATGTGATTGAATGACAATTAGCATCCATATTTAGATTAAATATGAGAGTAACAATTCATAATGGTTGATGATGGTGTGTGTTTAACTAAGCTTGTTGGGCCATAGCCTTATGGGTCACTATGCTATAAAAGTTCCATTGGTCAAGATTTTATGGGTTGAGACCATTTGGGTTGTGCTCACATTAGGTGAAGTTATAATCATGATAAATCACCCAAAAAAACACCTAACTAGGTCAAATATCAATTATTATTGCATGTAGATAAAAAGTACATTATTTGAAAGTACGTTATTTAAGTATTGTAAGTACATTATTTTGTATCAAATAATGTACATTTAGTACATAAATAATGTATTTTTAATACACTATATTAAGGAAAAATATATTATTTAAGTAGTAAAAATATAATATTTTGTATAATGCCAATGACCTTGTAGTCTAATGGCATGAAGTGACTCTATCAAGTGGGAGGTCATGAGTTTGAGCCTTAGTGAGGGCAGTATTGACTTTTTGTGTTTCAATAAGTTGAGAAAGTAGATTTGAACAAATAATACATTGTAATAGAGTCAGTAGTACTAAAAAAAATATTATGTGTATAATATACATTCAGTACACAAATAATGTGTTTTTTGTAGATATTAAAAATTTGGGTGGGGTTTTTGGATAATTGGGGAGAGGGGGAGGTTCTTAGTTTTTTATTATGTAAATATCAAATTTTTGTGGGACTCACTGAATGGGAAAAAAAAAAAAGAAGTTGTCACATAGCTTGCGCGTTTCGTTCACTATCGTGCAGTGCATGCAGTTGTTGGGTGCATAAATATGACTTTTTCTTTTTCTTTTTTTCCTCTTATCTCTTCTTTCTATATCGTACTTTGGCATTGAAACCAAAGAAAAAAAATTCAACTCTTGAAAATGCTCTTAAGATTTTTAGAAATTTGGGGCACAAATGGGAGTTTATTATGGTTTGACACTTACAATACAAATTTTATTGAAAGAAGTTTTTTCAAAATGAAAGTGAAATTGAAAGTAGAGAAAGAGATGTAATGAGATTATAGCTCATAGTGCTACAAATGATTAATGAGGCACATATAGAGTATGTTTTCTTACTTTCTTTGCTAATCTTTCAAATTTATTGGACTCGTCACAAATAACATATATTAACATCATAAGAAAGACTAGTTAGCACTGCAAAACCTTGCACCACTCATCGGATACATCAAAAATAAAATCCGTTGTGTACAACTCAACTACTCATTCATTGTGTTAAATGAATCATATAAGGAAGAAACAAAAGAATATTTGTCTTAAAAAAAAAGAGAGAAAAATAAATGAAACTAAAGCTCACCATTTTTGATAAAAATGTAATTTTAAAATTTTTTAAAATAATAAATAAATAAAGTATCACTTTTGTTACCATTCTTATATTCGTATAAACAAAAAGTCGTTTAATATTTCAAGGCTCACGGTTGAAAATTAGAGGTTTTGTATTCATGGGTGAAGCCAAAAATTTTGTTCACTGGAGGGCGGAACATTACAACAAAAGAGATAATTTGAAAAAAAAAAAAATTGAAACACTTATAGAAGTATAGTCATAAATATTATTGGATATGAGTAAAAAATAAAACATATCAAAACTTTATAAAAATATTAATAACAAAATATGAAACATAATTAATTTGATAAAATAGTTAAAATACAAAATACATTATAAATTACACATCTTATTATTAATATAAAAAAATGTTATATATATATATATATATATATATATATATATATATATATATATATATATATATATATATATATATATATATATATATGAAATTGTGTTGAAGCAATAGGCTCATTATTAACAATAGTTAGTAAAATGCCATAAAACTATGATTAAGTCATATAACAATTGAATCCCTTGACCTTCATAATGTCAAACGTGTGTCTTTCTAGCTGAGCTAACTCATCTTTTATTAATTTTTATTTGTTTGCTTATCCTTATACTTAAAAACCTGAACTCTCTCTCTCTCTCTCTATATATATATATATATATATATATATATATACACACACACGGGTTATATAGGGGGAGGGGGTGGGGAGAAGGGGACAACTGTCTTCAATGTAGCTCCGCCTCTGTTTGTATTGCAAGTAAAAAATAGTTACGTAATTGGTAACACTAACAAATAAATCTTTACGACACTAATATTACAAAAAAAATTTGCCCATAAAAAATAAAATTTAACTGAATTACTATTATTTACATCATTCTAAATATTCTGCTACGGGGATATAAGAAAACCTGTTAGGCATTCAAATTTTGAGAAGAAAGAAATTTGCCAAAGTCCCCATCCACCATTCCAATTTCCAACCAAAATATAAGAAAAACAAAAAAGAGGAAAAAGAAAAGGGTGCCAGTTGTTGACTACGTTGAAGAGGCATAAAAACATAAACGGCGCACGTAGAAGCCACAGCCCACAACCCATCATTTCTGTTCAGACTCTCAGCCCCTCTCACCTGAGCCTGAGGGGTTCTATACTCGTATAACACATACGCCCTTTTGCCTGCCTTCGCCGGAGCCAACAAATAAACCAAGCCACCGTACCATCACTCATCACCTTCTCTCTCATCCTCCTCACCACCCAACCACCGCCATTTTCGCCGTCCGTAAAACCCCTCGCAACACTTCCATTTTCTCCACTCGCCGATTCGACTCAGCGTCACTATCCGATCCTGGCACCGAATACACGGATTGTGTTACCCCTCGATTGACAGATTGGTTGCGTATCGGAGAGTAGCTATGGCGCTATCGGCCGCCGACTTGCCAGCGATGTACTCGCTGCTAACCAACTCACTGAGCGCCGACCAGAGCGTGCGCAAGCCAGCTGAGGCCGCTCTCGCTCAGTCTGAGAGCCGCCCCGGTTTTTGCTCCTGCCTCATGGTATGGTTTTCAAACTCTATCTTCTTCGTATTTTGGGTTTATGCGCGTGTATGTATGCCAAACAAGTATAATCTGTAAGTGAGAACTGAGGCATATGCAATGGAACTGTTTATTGGTTTAGGAAGTCATCGCGGCCAAGGATTTAACAGCTCAAGGGGATGTTCGATTAATGGCATCTGTGTACTTTAAGAACAGCATTAACAGATATTGGAGGAACAAGCGCGACTCAATGTAAGTGTTGCTGTCTGTTTGTTTGTCGCCATTTCTGCTAATGTTTATTGCTTGAGTTCATTCTGTGCACAATTGCCAGCTGCTTCCTTTTGTGAAAATGTATAGCTAAATTCAGCTATAAATATCAAAATGTTATACATACATTTTTGCATACCAAGAGAAAAGAGATAGGAGGTAGGAGTTCTCACTTCTGTGACTGAAAATTAAATTTGTTGATGTATTTTGTCAGAAGTCTTAACAACTTTTTACTACTCCAAAGTTGATTGCTGCTCTTCAAAGTGATATGGTTCACACAAAGCTTTCAGAAGTTGTAATTTTCCTTGGATGCAATATACATTATGGAGTATACACTATACATTGTTTTACAATGCAAAAATGTAAAATTTGTTTTTCTTTTTTTTTTTTTGTTTTTGTTTTTGTATTTGTTTTTTTTTTTGTTTTTGTTTTTTTTTTTTTGTTTTTGTTTTTGTTTTGTTTTTAAATTCTCCTTCACACCATGTTTACTTCTTATTATCATTTTACTTTTCCTTAAAGTGCAAAATGCTACAAATTTTTAATTCCTCTCTGTTTCATGCTTTCATCACAAATGATATTGATTAACATTGACGTTCTTTTTTCTAAGCTAGAACTGTATCTGGAAAATCTTTGCAGGGGAATTAGCAGTGAAGAGAAGTTATATTTAAGACAAAAACTTTTGGCACACTTGAGAGAAGAGAATTACCAGGTAGTGCTGTTTTGATATAAATTTATACTGAATCTGTTAGTAGCTTATTCATATACACATTATTGGAACACTGTCAATCTTATTTTCAGTTTGCTTTGATTTCTAAGGTGATCCATTGCTCCTCTCGTCTTTTCGGGCAAATGCTTTTTCATTCACTTATGTTCTACGGGTCCATATACTCTTTCTACTTAGAGAAGCTTATTTCTAATCTCAAATGGCATGTGGATTTAATACAGGTTGCCCTTACTTTATCGGTTATCGTTTCAAAAATTGCTCGCATCGACTATCCCAGAGAATGGTATGCATTCTACCTAGAAGTTTTAGTTTATAATTGGGTCTTGTGAAGAAGAATTTTCAATATAGTGTTTAAGAATAGAGAGATTTTTCATGTTAAACAACATGGTCTTCTGGGGAAGGGATTCAGTGATTTCAACCTAATGGTAACACTTGCATTTAAAAAATGTTTTTGTTGATTTTGATGACTATTTGATGGAAGGTTAGTCTAACTTTTATGGCCTGTCCAATGAGATTTTGGGCTTTTTGAGTCTCACAAGTCATCATTGAGAGATTATCACCTTGAGATTCCTTAACTAAAGACTTAATTTGTCTTTATGTTCTATGCGTACTGCATATTTAACCTTTGCATATTACAGTTATAAGTGTATTTTAGATATCTTGACCTTTCAATATTTTGAATTATTTTTCCTGTGTGCCTGATGCCAATATTAAAATTCCTGTACAGGCCAGATCTCTTTTCCAGTTTAGCACAACAACTTCAATCGGCTGATATTTTAACTTCCCACAGAATTTTCATGATTATTTTCCGCACTCTGAAGGAGTTGTCTACAAAGCGTCTTGCTTCAGACCAAAGGAACTTTGCTGAGGTAGGGGTTGTTATGTGACTATTGTCTTTATTTTGTATTTTCATGCGCACTGTGTCTGTGTTCTGTGTTTTCATGCACACTGTCAGTTTTACAAAACCAGAATCAGTGGGTGTTTGTGATGAACTTTGTAGTATACATACTCTCATTGTCTCAAATTTTTAGGCTCTGTTGATTTTCTGATTTTTTCCACCATTTTGCTGTCAGTAATTGAGCTCATTCATTTTATCATTTTTATATTGAATAAAACTTGAGCAGAATAGTTAAGATCCCTGTCATGTTTTTCTTTTCTATAATGAATTTTGATTGTCTTGTGCTTTGAACCAAACAGAGACTGGGCCTCTTTTTATGACCATTCTATTGACGATCTTCTGATTTCACTGGGCAGATATCAACACAATTCTTTGAATACTGCTGGCATCTTTGGCAGACTGATGTTCAGACTATACTTCATGGTTTCTCAGCCCTTGCCCAAAACTTTGGCACAAATACCTCTAAATTGTGTCATGATGATCTTTACCTAACTTGTGAGAGATGGTTTTTGTGTTCCAAGATAGTTCGTCAGTTGGTAATTTCTGGCTTTCCAAGCGATGCAAAGACCTTGCAGGTACTGACTACTGAGCTTTGTCATTCGACCTTTGTGGTTTCATTTTCCCTGCTTTATGGTATTGCTTGTTAAATCATGCTAGTAAATTAACTTACTGTATTTTCCTCTTTTCAAGGAGGTCCGGCATGTAAAAGAGGTCTCTCCAGTGCTTTTGAATGCCATTCAGTCATTTATTCCATTTTGTAAGAATTTACTTCTGATTCATTGTCAAAAATAACATTTCAGTTTTCACATCGTTGTGCTATAAATATTTGTTTCAAACTTGAAATTGTGTTCTGAGAGAAAAAAAAAAAAACTTAATCTGCAGATTCCTCTTTCCAAGAGCAACATCCAAAATTCTGGAACTTTGTAAAGCAGGCATGTACAAAGTTAATGAAAATTTTAGTTGCAGTTCAGCAGCGGCACCCTTATTCATTCGGGGATAAATGCGTTCTGCAACCCATTATTGATTCCTGTGTTAAAACAATTGTAGATCCAGACCCACATATAATGTCCTTTGAACAATTCTTGATTCAATGTATGATAATGTTGAAAACCGTTTTGGAATGTAAAGAGTACAAGACAACCTTGACTGGACGTGTGGTGGATGAAAATGGGAACACATTTGAGCAGATGAAGAAAAACATTTCTAGTTCTGTTGCCAGGCTCCTTGCTTCTCTTTTTTCTCATGACAGGGTAATACTGCTATGTAATGTCCTTATCAGGAGGTGAGTGAGGATAAAGCTCTATAATCAAGTTTTCTATCTATATCAACTTCTTTCCTTTTTCCCCCTTTAATCAAGTATATAAACTGGGGTTCCAGGTTTAGCCCGGTGGTAGGCTAAATTCAATTCTAGGCATTATCCTTGGGTTTGAATCTCATCTCCCTCATCCCCTCAAATGTGTCGAAATATGAGAACTGACTTAATCTGGGTAAACATTTATAGTTGACTATGTTTGATGCTTTCTGCTGAAAAAGGATTGGCTTAAACACATGTCAAGCCATCTGAGTTCTGATTAATAAACAAATATTTTGCTCACATCACTCTTATTCAGCAGTTAATCTTGCTATGTTGATCCAACTGCCAGATTAGAATTTTCTGTGAAACCATCACACTCTATACCTAGGTATATAATGTCCCTAACAAGTAATTCAGCCATTTTTATTTCCCTCAATTTAATTCAAATTTTCTAATTATGGAGTATATTTCTTGTGATATACTCTGTACACCTGGATAAAAAGTCAAGAAAATTCCAGCTCCAGCATCCAAATTTCCCCTAAGCCTAAAAGGGAAAAATGATCAAGAAATAACAAAATTTTCATGTAGGGGGATGACTCCATTTTGTTAATTAAATTCTGCATGCTTGTTTCTTAATTTCATTCCTCTTATCTAATCCGTTGATTGTGTTCAAAATTTTCAAATTTTCCTCAAACAGGTACTTTGTTCTGACAGCAAGTGATTTGTCAGAGTGGTACCAGAATCCTGAGTTATTTCATCATGAGCAGGATTCAGTTCTATGGTCAGAAAAACTAAGGCCATGTGCTGAAGCGCTATATATTGTTTTGTTTGAAAATCATAGTCAGGTACATTCTACTTGATCCTTTGTGTTTAACTTTGTGGAGTCTTATAGGGAAGTTCTCAATTTGTTGAGAAAACAATTAACATATATTTGGTGTTGATATTTTTAGCTGCTAGGACCTGTTGTGCTCTCTATACTGCAAGAAGCTATGAATGGCTGTCCTTTTTCAGTCAATGAAATAGCACCAGCATTACTACTTAAGGATGCTGCTTATGGTGCTGCTGCATATGTTTATTACGAGCTTTCAAATCTTCTGAGCTTTAAAGACTGGTATGTGCATTTTCTTGCAGTTGATATTTGGAGTTTTGCATTCTAATGATCTATGTGTTGTTTTAGGTTTCACAATTAGTACTTGTATTCTGGTTCTTTGGTTTTCAAATAGGCTCATATCTGAGGCTATACTTTATACTAGTATATTTGACCTGTGAAACTTGTGGACCATATTTTCTATTTCTATACTTCTTATTATGTTCTTATTGTTAGTGTAGAAACTTTTAAACAATCCTCTGGAGAAAAGCCTTGTGTAACTTTGAACAGGTTGTAAAATATTTGTTAAAAAAAGCAAAAAAAAAAAAAAAAAAAAAAGCCAAAAAACCTCTAACTGATATAATGCACAATGGATACAATTATATTCTACAAAACTTTATGCAGGTTCAATGGTGCATTATCTATCGAGCTTACAAATGACCACCCAAATATGCGGATCATACACAGAAAAGTTGCATTGATCCTTGGACAATGGGTTTCAGAGGTAATATTACTTCTATGCTAGATAAGAATGAGTTTCTTTTTCTTAAGTCAAAGTCTTCTGATACATTTATTTTAATGCATATGCTTTGTTCACAGATTAAAGATGATACCAGGCGAGCTGTGTACTGTTCTCTGATTAAATTGCTTCAGGATGGAGATTTATGTGTCAGGGTATGCTACTTTTCTATTTAGCAGTGATTCTTAGCTTTTGGTTTATTTATTTATTTTGTTGGTATATTATTTATTCTCTATTCATGATTCAAGAAGCTGCATTTTTTATAAACATTTTCTTTAATACAAGTTTGCTCTGATTCATCCTCTGTATTTATGCTTTTAGCTGGCAGCGTGTCGTTCCTTGTATTTTCATATTGAAGATGCAAACTTTAACGAGCCAGAATTTTCAGATCTTCTTCCCATTTGTTGGGATTTATGCTTCAAATTGATAGATGAAGTACAAGAATTTGACTCCAAGGTATGCCAGTAAATGTTCCTTTGACTCTTTAATGATACTATATGAAGTACGTTCCAGTCTTTTGCCCATGATTTATGATATTTTGGTACCAGTAGATAGTTTTCCCCCCCGACTCTTGAATTGCAGCATTGACCTTGGTACATTTTGCCCTTTCATTATGTTCTATATTTCTCTGATTCATTTGCATATTGTGTGGATCATGCTTAGTCTTATTGTAAATCAACTCTATGCTTTTATCTCTATCCTAACTCTACTTTTCTTCTGCACTTGTTGCTTTGGAGAATAATACTATCACCAATGTTTTATTTTTCCTTGAAATTTTCAGGTTCAGGTTTTGAATACAATCTCTGCTCTTGTAGCTCACATTACTGAAATTATTCCATTTGCAAACAAGTTGGTGGTGTTTTTCCAGAAGGTGTGTTTTAAGTTTTCTTTATAGTTCTCTAATCTGATGTTATTCATTTAAAGTTGACAGCAAAGCCTTTTTCTCTGTATTAGGTGACAACTTATCTATTTGTTTATTTTCTGGTAAATATCATCAGACTATTTATAGATCAGGACTGCACATTGAGTATATAATGTTTAAAGCTTGTTTTTAAGACTTATGACTATATCCTATCTCCTTATCTGATGAAGTTTCATTGAAATCTTAGTTCTGTACATTTACCCAACTGCTGATGCTATCATTAGTGGGATCCAATAAAATATAATGGATAATTGGTGACAGTTAGAAATCTGTGTAAATGTACTTGAAGAGCCTCATTCTCCATCCTGATATGGTTACTTATTTATTTGGAAAATGCTGATGCATTTATTTATTCAGAATATATTCATAAGGATAAAAAATTTTGATGCCACCAGAGAGTGTCATTTGTTCTGTGATTCTTTTCTAATTAACATGTGAGATTTACTTATGCTGCTTTTAATGATTTCTGTACTTAATTAGGCCTGGGAGGAATCTTCTGGTGAAAGTCTTTTGCAGATTCAGCTTCTTACTGCACTGAAAAATTTTGTGGTAGCTCTTGGTTATCAGTCACCCATCTTTTACAATACTTTGTTGCCAATTTTACGAAGTGTGATTAATGTAGATAGCCCTGATGAGCTACTTGAAGATGGCATGCAGGTTTGTTCCCTCACTACTATTGTTCAATCACAGACTGGAATAGTATGCAACTGATTCTGGCTACAATAACGCAGTTATGGGAAGCCACACTTATTAATGCTCCATCAATGGTATCAGAACTACTTGGATGTTTTCCTTGTTTAGTGGAAATTCTGGAAAGAAGTTTTGATCACTTGAAGGTTTGAAAGGCAAACTTAGCAACTTTGTTTATTTAATGTACAATACTGATGTTTCATGACTTCTAGGTTGCTGCAAATATTATTGAGGACTATATAATTTTGGGTGGAAGGGAATTTCTTAGTATGCACACTTCAAGTATCACTAAATTTCTTGATCTGGTGGTTGGAAATGTCAATGACCGTGGGCTGCTTTCAACACTTCCCGTGGTCGATATTCTGGTTCAGGTAGTTAATCATTCCTTGATATTTGAATTCTTTTTTAACTCTTGTGATTAAGATATGCAAAGTAGTTATATGTTTCATGCCCTGCCATATAAGTGTATTGGCAGTAACAGTTTTATATGCTTCTGTATTTAACAATTGAAGGTTAATAAAAAAAAAAAAAAAGCCTTACAGTTGAAGTGAAATATCCTTTTCTACCCATGGACCTTAGTTTTTATTACCCAGAATAAGCTCTTAACTTGTGGTAATTGTTCTCAATTTTAAAATTCCAATAAGACAGATAATTCAATTAGAACGATAAACAGATGTAATGCTTTTCCAATATTACAGTGTTTTCCGGTGGAAGTGCCTCAACTAATCAGCACCAGTCTGCAGGTAATTATTTTTCTTCACATTGTCTGTCTTCTTTTCTTTCTGTAAGCATCTATAAGTGCTATCATGAATTTTGTTTTCTGGGATAGTGTTATTAATTTATCCTGCCACTCAATATTGCTAGAAATTAATTGTCATATGCTTGACTGGAGGAGATGATCACGATCCTTCCAAGACGGCTGTAAAAGCATCTGCAGCAGCTCTACTGGCAAGGATTTTGGTCATGAATACAAATTATCTTGGGCAATTAACGTCTGAACCCTCACTCTCATCGAGTCTTCAGAAAGCCGGTTTCCCTTCAGAAGAAAATATTCTTCTTTGCCTGGTTGACATATGGCTTGACAAGGTCAGAAGGAGCACAAGTTTAAAATTTAAATAAAAGCAGTAGCAGTGGATGCAGTTGAGTTTTGCATTTGAGACTACTGCCTATACCCAAAGCTCTAAAATTTTTTATTTCTTGTTACTTTCTGAAACTGTCACAGGCTGACAATGTGGCTTCTCATCAGAAGAAGACAATTAGTTTAGCCCTTTCTATAATTTTGACATTAAGGCTGCCTCAAGTACTAGATAAACTCGAACAAATTCTAAGGTATTTACTCAGCTTTTATTTTGATTCATTGCTGCATATTTTCTGGTTTTATATATAAATAATTCAAAACTAATGCATTTGATTGAATTCTAGTGTCTGTACGAGTGTAATACTGGGGGGAGGTGAGGATGACCTAACTGAAGAAGAGTCCAGGTAAGATCTAATAAGCTCTTAATTGGCTCTTGAACTTGTCACAAATAATTCTTGCTCTCCTATATATTTGAAACTACTTTGTGAAATGACAGCAGCGACAACATTAGTTCTAGCAGGCCAAATTTTCCAAGCAAAGAATTGAGGAGGAGACAGGTAACTGGTGTATGCTACTACTCTACTTAAAGCTGAATGCCAATTTTATCAAAATTAATTGCTAAAACATGTGTTCTCGTAGATTAAATTCTCAGATCCGATCAATCAGATTTCTCTAGAGAACTCAGTGAGAGACAATCTTCAGACATGTTCAGCTCTTCATGGAGAGTCTTTTAATGCAGCGATTGGTAAAATGCACCCATCGGTCCTTGCGCAAGTAAAACAAGCATTGAAAATGCCATAGGCCAATATTTTTGTGAATTTTTTGGTTGGAATTCTTGTGTAAGGTTCGCTAGCTTTCTCATGATCCCATGGAGGGTGAAGGATGAAGGGATGGTGGAGGTGAGTTGTCCAACAAACACTTCACGTCTCTGAGTGTCACCTTTTGTTCTGAGACATTCTTTTTATGCACCGCTTCTTGTGATATAAACAAGCTTACATATACCAACTATTTTGTGCAGTTGTGCATACTTGAGTACTGAAATCATTTTACCTGTTATAATTCCCTTGGTGTCCAGGTGAGTTTTGAAGTTTTTGTCGACCCCATATTATTTTTGCATTCTCTGGAGTGAGATACAGTTGCAGCTTACAATTACGGAATATGTGTTGGGTTTTTCTGGTGTCAATTCATGAGAGTAGCTTGATTGTAATTCTTTCGTGTTTCATAATTTCTCCCCAGTGCCTCCACATGCAGTAAAAATGTGGGGATTGTCATATACTGTAAATAATGATCCCTCGGTGTCGTGGTTTTTTGAGGCACAAGGAGGATCATACATTGAGATTATCCATTGCAAACTGATGAGTGAAAAGTATAATTTGGTTTGTTTCGATGAGCATTTGACATAGAAATGTAGTAATACCATGTTGCCATCTAACCAAATTACTGCATTCTAATTTCTAAATGTGATGTGAGAAAGAATAGTACTAATGCACTCTGAGGTGGTGCAATTTTGCAACACGTTGAAAAAAAAATCTATTTAGTCATGTTACTTGGTTAATTTTGGTATATTTTATTTTTAGTTAATTCTGGCTTTATATTTTTTATGTTTAGATTATTTCGCTAGTAAATTTTGTTTACCTGACTTTTCAATGTTTGTAAAGAGCTAATATTTGACACTCGATAATTTATCTAATTATATATATATATATATATATATATATATATATATATATATATATATATATATATATATATATATATATGGTTAAATAAGCTTCCCTTTTTACTTGTAAATTTTATTACTCTCTTTGTTCTATTTTATGTGTTAGGTACAATTAACGATATTTAATTGAAGTTATTATTAATTTAATTCATCATAATATTAAGTTTAATATTAATATACAAAATTTATATGTTTAGAAATTTACATTAAAAGCGCTATTAAATTATACAAAAAAAAAATCAAATAAATTAGTTTGACCGAACATTACAATAAGATATGTTAAGTTGGTGCGGTTTTTATTGACTCTGCAAGTTAGGTTAAATGTGGCTTTCACGTTACAATAGCAACTTAGTAAAAAAGTTTTAGTTAACATTTTTTTTTTTGTCATATTCATTTACACTGTTTTACTACTCCGGTAAAGGTGAATAGACTGAAATTCGTCCCTTCAAGAGGTATAGGTGAATAAACTTTACTACGGTATTAGTCAATTACTTTTGCATTGTTGTACTTTCAAAATATGTATATATGTATGTTTATGTTTATATTTCTGTTCTTCTTTCTTGTATTAGTCACCTGTATCCTATTGTGTTAACATTTCCGTATCAAAGCTAATGTTGTAAATATCAACCTAGGCGTCCTTAGAACAAAGTAGTTTCAGCCCTATGCAACTTTTAGTTGGTTGGTCGACTAAGCACCGAGTTGGATGCCGCTCAGCTAGGCTGAGTCAACACCAAACTCGGTTGAGTGGTATTTTTTGTTTGCTCGGTTGCTCCTCTTCAATATTTTTCTATAACATATGTAGTTCACTAGCGCCTTCCGCAACATTGATCAAAACAAAGCTAAAAAAAACCAAAGTACAATTCCAATATCCCCATAGATTTCTCACTTTTGCGCACTTCAATACCTGCTCCTAATAGTTATGAGTACAAAACTTAAGTTCTGCAAACTTCGGCATGTAATATTATGTGCTTTTAACGCTATTGCAATACAAATCTTCTCTTCTCTGGTAGTTCTGAACCAACTTGCAAGTGCCCTGTTGTTAAGAGCAAGGTGAAGTATGTCAAAGGGAGAGACATAGGACTCAATGGTCCCCCTGGAAGCCTTCACCAGTTTGGAATTAGGGCAAGGGCGTAGTGATAACATAGGACAATTTTAAAAAATATAATTGTCACAAAGACTACAATACTCCTAAAAATTGGAATTCACTTGTCAACAATACAAATATTTATTAGTCGTATTAGACATGGTTGCTTATGTGGTCATTTACATTTAACAAAAATTCTTGTTCTGGGCATACCGAGTGTAAAACAATTCTGTGCAAAATGCAAAATGCCAAAAAAAAAAAAAAAAAAAAAAAAAAAAACTTGAGCTCCACATCAGTTAAAAACTACAAATGAAATTTAAGGAATTATAACCTTTAAAAATAATGAAATAGATTTTAGTGTAAACAAGGCTACAAGGGTAAAAGAGAACTAGGAAATGTCAACAAAAATAAATATGGAACATCATCTTTGTTAAGATGGCAAAAGAGACAAATGGTCGAAACTTGAGAGGATGCATCTTCAGCCTTTATTCTTCTTCATGTGGTACCCACCTCAGGTGTTGAGAGCTGCAAATCTTGTAAAGAAATGTGCTAAGCCAATTCTTCAACCATATGTAGGAGTAACCTCAAGAATTACTGTTAAACTAACATAAACTGAAAGAGACTTGAATCACGAGGAACTTGACCTCGTAACAACAGAAGCATTAGGATCAGATTAAGTAATGCTTCCATTGTTACGAGATCAGGTTCCTCGTGATTCAAGTTTCTTTCAGTATATGTTCATTTATAATAGTATCTAACATTTGGACCTTTGTCCCATACTCCCATTGGAAAATCACAAGATATGGGACTCACAAAATAAATGCCCTAAAACAGTATCTAGAACCTAACTTTGCAAGACTATATTTTGGACACCATGAAATTGCGCAAGACACATAATAAATTTGAACCAATCTAACTTCGAGACTCAAAAGCAAATTGTATACATTCTAAGCACAAAGAGGCCATTTCAAACTCCAATATTGAGCAAGGCGAGTAACAAATATTCTAAAAAAATCAACTTAACATGTGCAAAGGAAAAAAGACCTAATAGAACAGTGAAACATGATGCCCTATCAGTGTAACTATGACAATGAAAGCATCATTGGATATAAATCCATAGCCATTAACATCCTCGTCATATAGGTAATCATGATCCCAGCCAAACTTCTTCAGATCAAAAAGTACAATAAAATGATCTGATCACTAAAAATGCAAACTTGATTATGCATACATGATTCACAATGGTTTGTTAAAGATTAATTAAGCAAGATGAAGAAATTTAGTCATGCTAGAGGTGACTGGTATCAAAATAAAAAATGCTAATACCATTCAATATAGCTCCAAGCTTGACATTTCACAATATAGGCAACAGGGAAAAGAGGCGATCAACATAAGTATATCACCTCGGCAAAGTTGCCCAATTCTTACTTGCTCTTCAATTTAACCACCAAACAATTTGATCAATGGAAACGCAAACTGCAATTCCAACGGACAAATAAAACCGTTTATGCAAATTTAGAACTTTTAAACAATTAAACAAAGAGCAATATGATGAACCAAACATATCAGAGAAATACTTATATAGACTACGAACTCTAAGATTGAGAGATGAAAGAGTGTTAAAGCCCTGCGAACTCTAGGGTTGTTGTTCGGCGGATTTGGGGCCTAGGGTTTAAGCCCTTGCAGGCAGATGACGGCTGTGAGCGGGTGTGTGTATTTATAGAGTGATAAAATAAGTACTCGCTGCACAGCTGTCAGAGGGCTAGGGTTTTGAAATTTTGTTTTAATTCGATGCTTTCCATTCGATTTGGAATAAATTCTACTTGACCCCAAAACTATCTCTCAAATTATCTTTGTCCCCGTATATTTTTTGGTGGGTAGATGGTACCGTATGAGTTTAAACAAATCAAGCAGAGTTCGAAATTGTAAAAGTCGAGAATACACAATATAGTCCTCGATTATAGTAATTTTATTAAATTCCAATTTTAAATAATTTCTTGTGTTCAATTTATTCATTGACTTTGATAGTTGTACACAATTTAGTCCTTTATTAAAAATTACGTTAATTACTGTTAGAAATATGGTCATAATGGTAGTTTCTCATCCTTCATTCCATTTGTGATGATTCTTTCTTTTTCCCTTATTAAGATCCACACAGAAATCCAAATCTTCGTACTCAAATCAATTTCAACATATGCAAAAATTAAATATTTGCCTAACCTTCTTTCCTTAAGGAGTTGAAGTTGATTTGGATACAAAGATTTGCATTCTTGACTTAATAAGGGGAAGAAGCATGAATAACCCAAAAAAAAAAAAAAAAAAAGAATAAGGGTCAAATTAGCCATCAAACTACACACGAAAATGCAATTGAGCCACTGAACTAAAAAAACATGCAATTAGGTCCCTAAACAACGCAAAATAAAGAAATTGAACCTAAAAGTGACCTGCTTACATGAAGTGGAAGTTATTTTATTAAAATAATAATTTTTTATTTTATTAAATAATTATAAATAACAAAAAAAAATTAAAAAAAATTAAAAAAAAAAAAAACCGCCTCATCTCTAGGCCGTCAGAGACGAAGCTGGAGACAAAGATGTCCCTTCATCTCCGGGCTAGAGAGGAAGGGAACCCTTCGTCTCCGGCCTGGAGACGAAGGATCTATATGCTGGAGAAGAAGGGATGACGTCCCTAATTGTTCCTTCTTCTTCGGCATGGAACGTCTCCAGGCTGTCGGAGACGAAAACCCCGTCTTCGTCTCCGACGGCCTGGAGACGATGCGTTTTTTTTTAATTTATAATTATTTAATAAAATAAAAATATTATTTTAATAAAATAACCTTCACTCCAGGTAAGTAGGTTATTTTTGGGTTCAATTACATCATCTCACGCTATTCAGGGACCCAATTGCATATTTTTTGAGTTTAGTGGCTTAATTGCATTTTCGTGTGTAGTTCGATGGCCTATTTGACCCTTATTCCAAAAAAAAAAAAAAAAAGAAGATGAAGGAACAGAAATTACCATTATGACCTTATTTCTAATAGTGAACTAAGATAATTTTTAAGAGAAAATTTCAATTCTGGTCATATGACTATATGGGCTTTGTTAGTTTCAGCACCTGACTTTCAAAAGTGTCAATTTAGTACCTTGACTATGCAATTTTTATCAATTTTGGCCACTCCGGTTAAATTACCGGTCAAATTTCGCCAGAAAAACTTAATCCTTCATTTAGTCTATAAGCTGAGGGGCAAAATCATCTTTTGAAGTCTAGTAAAATCGTTTTTTTCCGGCGAAATTTGACCGGTAATTTGGTCGGAGTGACTAAAATTGACAAAAATTACATACTCAAGGTACTAAATTGACACTTTTGAAAGTCATGTGCTAAAATTAACAAAGCCCCTATAGTCATATGACCAAAATTTAGATTTTTCTCTAATTTTTAATAAAGGACTAAATTGTATAAAATCATCAAAGTCGATTACTAAATTGAGCATAAAATGTTATTTAGGACTAAATTGAGTAAAACCACAATAATCGATGACTATTGATACGGGTGGTCCCGTGTGTATGTAGAGTGTATACTATATGTATGAACAATGGAGAGAAGGCATAGCAAATGAGCCTCTTTTATTCATTATATTCTTGTAAGTGGTTCTAGAGAGAAGGGAGAGGGTTGTATCTTCTAGAGAGAGAGAGTCTAAGGAGGAAGGGGAGGACCCCTAAAATAGAGGACTAAGACCCCTTTTATAGGTCCAAGCGTGGGCGGGTTTGAGCTTGACTCGTGAATCAGGATCTGAACCGTTTGACTCGACCTAAACAAGAGCATGGAGAATACGGAAAACCTGAACCTGGGATACATTTTCCATCAACTATATTAAGTATTAACTCGGTAAAAATCGAGGCTTGACTTAAAAAAAAAAAAAAAAAAAGAAACTCGAACTTAGTTCAAATATGTTTACCAACGTTTTTAAAAAAATATTTTATATAATAATTATGAGTTAATTACATTTTTAGTTTTAGATTTATATGTGACAATTCACTTTTAGTCATTTTTTATCAGAAGATCCATTTTTTGTATTAGTATTATTGTGACATGACCAATTTTGGTCATCTATAAAACAAATTATTAAAATTGCGTTAAATACAAGAGCATTTTACTCTTCAATTATGAATTTTTTCAAAAAATAAACATAAAATATATAACGAGTCAACACATGTTATAAAAATAAACATAAAATATATAACAGGTCAACACATGTATTAAAATGATCAAAATGTACATCTATTTAAAGGATCATGACTCAATGCGATAGTAATTAAATCGAATTAAATTTAAATATTTATCAAGTAGTACACGAGTAGTTTGGCCTATTTATATTTTTAAAACGCGTGAGGTGGTCAATGAGATGTAAAATATATATATATATATATATATATATATATATATATATATATATATATATATATATATATATATTTACAAATAAGAATATTTTAAATGATCAATTACTATTTTTATTTAGCATGATTATATTAAACGATAAATATAAAGTCATAATTAGAGATCCAAAGAGGTTGAACATTTTCAAATTTTAAAAATACATTTAAGAAAATAACTCATCACCAAATAAACAATACTGAGACGAACAGTCTCAACAAAAATAAAGTAGTCTTCCACAATTTTTGTTATTCACTAAACATACTAGATCATATGACTGACCTCGTTATGACTTAAAAATTTTAATGCTCAAATGATACAATTATTACAAAATAATTAACCAATTATTTTGGCACCTTGCTGACCTTATGGCTATGCTATTGCTTTCATATTCTCACTACAAATAGTCTTTGGACATCTTTTTTAAAAAAAAAAAAACTAAAAAGAAAAAGAAGATATAGAAATCATATAAAAGAAATTACAGTCTCAGATTAAAACTAGTAAGAAATGTTATGCCTCATTTACACAGCATGCTTTAGTATTTGGAAAACTGCAGTAGCAATCCTGATCTGCTCCTTTTTTGCGACTCCATACTTGAAATGGGATGGCCATTCCCAATAATATATTCTGGAATCAAATTACAAAAAGAAAGTTAGAGCAACTTGATCATGTTTCATTACATGAATGAATGGCTGAATGTAATTTGCAGAATAAACAACCTCAAAATTTTTTGGATGCATCCTTTATTTGCTCTGCAATCTCTTTCTTCTTTTCTTCAGCTGGAAACACCAATTTAAACCGTAAACTAAATCACACTTATCATTTGTTCAGGTTGGTCAAACTAGTACAAAGCATTCAAGACAGGACCCATCCAGGAGCTGATTTGCACATACCTAATTTCGAGACCTCCTCAATTGTTTTGGATGTCCTCACAGCAAATCTCTGGAATCTTGGGCTAAAAGTATTGAAAACACTTTGGGATCAGTATTGAGCTGTCCTAATATTATTTCATTGTCATCACAAATATCATAATAGCAAATGGGGGTACACCGTACACATGGCTTGATGATGAAGATACAAGAGGCAATTACAACAACTACAACACATTACTGAATCACAATACATGAGAATATCTTCTTTAGAAAGTAGAAAGATTAATCCAAAAGTGGTAACAGATTATATTTATGGGAAGGTACCACGCCAAGCTTCAGTAGGTAAAGAGAGTAGACTGCATTAGAAAATCTACCAAAACCAAACACCTAGAAGTTTCATGAATTTCTTTTTGACATTTCATTTTCACCATCCTCACCACCTTCCCTGAAGAAGAGTCTTCAAACAGATCCTAGTTTTCTATAAATTGACATCATAGACTCAAATAGGTAATTTGGTTATGTGCATTCTCCATGTCACCGAAAACAATAAATAATCCATTTCCAACCCGTTGTTTTCATTGTTATGTTCAAACAAGATGCTAGATTTCAATTTATAAAGAAAAGTAGGTTAATCCAAATGTATCGACGGAAGACTATTTTTATGGCAACTCTGCATGCCAGGCTTCAGTAGATAAACAGAGCAACCTCAGACTGTTAGAGTTTTAGCATACAACTATGCTGTCATCTCTGCAATCATTACAAGCCTACGAATAGTCATCATGGGCTGCACTAGAAAATCTAACAAAACCAAACACAAAAAAGTGTCATGTATTTCCTATCAAAATTCTAACCATCTTCTCCCCCAGAAGTTAATCCACAAACAGCACCAGTCATCCATAAACTAACATCATAGAATCAAATAAGTAAGTTTTGTAACCTGCATTCTCCATGTTATAAAAAACAATAAGCAATCCATTTTCAATGAATAGTTTGCCTTATCAACCCTCTATTACTTTCATGTTAACTTCGAAAAGATGCTAGATCAATTCATAGAGGAAAAAGAAAAGGCTAATCCAAAAGTAGTAACAGAAGACTATTTTTCATAGCAAGTCTGCATGCCAGGCTTCAGTAGATAAACAGAGCAACCTCAGACTGTTAGAGTTTTAGCATACAACTATGCTATCATCTCTGCAATCATTACAAGCCTACGAATAATCATCATTGGCTGCACTAGAAAACCTAAAAAAAAACAAACACAAAAAGGTGTCACGTATTTCCTATTTAAAATTCTAACCATCTTCTCCTCCGGAAGTTAATCCACAAACAGCACCAGTCATCCATAAACTAACATCATAGAATCAAATAAGTAAGTTTTGTAATCTGCATTCTCCATGTTATATAAAACAATAAGCAATCCATTTTCAATGAATAATTTGCCTTATCAACCCTCTATTACTTTCATGTAACTTCGAAAAGATGCTAGATCAATTCATAGAGATTACTTTCATGTAACTTCAAAAAGATGCTAGATCAATTCATAAAGGAAAAAAAAGGCTAATCTGAAAGTAGTAACAGAAAACTATTTTCATAGCAAGTCTGCATGCCAGGCGTCAGTGGATAAACAGTGCAGCCTCAGACTTTAGAGTTTTAGCATACAACTATGCTATCATCTCTGCAATCATTACAAGCCTACGAATAGTCATCATTGGCTGCACTACGAAACCTAACAAAACCAAACACAAAAAAAGTGTCATGTATTTCCTATTCAAAATTCTAACCACCTTCTCAGCGAAAGTTAATCCACAAACAGCACCAATCAACCCTAAACTAACATCATAGAATCAATAAGTAAGTTTTGTAATCTGCATTCTCCATGTTATAAAAAACAATAAACAATCCAATTTCAATGAATAATTTGCCTTATCAACCATCTATTACTTTCACGTTAATTTCAAAAAGATGCTAGATCAATTCATAGAGGAAAAAAAAAAAAAAAAAAAAAAAAGGCTAATCCAAAAGTAGTAACAGAAGACTATGTTTCATAGCAAGTCTACATGCCAGGCTTCAGTTGATAAACAGTGCAGCCTCAGACTTTTAGAGTTTTAGCATACAACTATGCTGTCATATCTGCAATCATTACAAGCCTACGGATAATCATCATCGGCTGCACTAGAAAATCTAACAAAACCAAACACCAAAAAGTCTCATATCCAACATCCTCACCGCCTTCTTCCAAGAAGCTAATTCACAAACAGCTCCAGTCGTCCATAAATTAACATCATAGAATCAAAATACGTAATCTAAATCCTCATCTCAGCAAGCCAATTGTAAGTTCCGAATCCAATTATTTCATGTGTTACCAACAGCCAATCATAAATCTGTCCGAAAAAAAAAAAAAAAAAAAAAAAAAGTGTACCTGTTTGCAAGCCCATTTACAACGAATTCATTAATGACATATGAGAGAACTCTTTGGAGAAAGTTACTTCCTCCCGCCATGATAGGTTGAAGCTGTTAGTTAAGAACAACCGAGACGCGAACTGATATTAGGGTTCCATAATTCAGACGGATTTCATTACTATATAGGCTAATAGGCGGGTCATGGTTCACTAGTAGGCCCGAAGCCCATTTTACTGGGCTTGGATACTGCAAATCTGATTCCTGTCTTATCAGTTTTTAAACATAATAAAAATACGCTAAATAAACTTAAATTAAGCTACCAAATGAATCTATAATATAGATTTTATAAATTTACAGTATAGAAATTATGAATCAAATTATGAATTTAGACTTGTGTGCACCACGCATGGTGCACACGGTTACACAGCATAACAATTCAGATCTTGTGGTCCAATGATACCAAGTTATTCCTACATGGGTGGTCGTGGGTTCGAGCCTCAGTCGATATACTATTGATCTATACTTCAGTTAAATTCTCACATGAAATGTTGTGGGTTCGAGCCTCAGTCGATGCACTATTGATCTATACTTCAGTTAAATTCTCACATGAAATGTTGTGGGTTCGAGCCTCAGTCGATGCACTATTGATCTATACTTCAGTTAAATTCTCACATGAAATGTTGTGGGTTCGAGCCTCAGTCGATGCACTATTGATCTATACTTCAGTTAAATTCTCACATGAAATGTTGTGGGTTCGAGCCTCAGTCGATGCACTATTGATCTATACTTCAGTTAAATTTTCACATGAAATATTGTGGGTTCAAGCCTCAGTCGATGCATCTATACTTCACTTCAGTAGATCTTTATCATGCACATCCAAATTATGTGCTTACAATTGCAATTAACATATTATGATCTGTGTATACTAGCAACTAAAAGCACAACACACGACATCGATTTAAACAACGTTTTTCCATCCACCAAACTAAAGAAAATAAAACATTAACATAAGCTTGAAGGAAACGCAACCTATGGTAAATTTCATTTACTTTTTTTTACCATATAGTACAGTTCAAGACAAGATTTTTACAAATTACAATGAATCCAACTAAGTTTACACGCCAAAAAAAAAAAAGAAGAAGAAGAAGTTTAATTTGATTCCATTCCCAGCAGCGGGGAATTTATTTTCAGTTTGTGTGGCTGCTACAAATATGCATACAGTATTTGATTCCACGTGTCGGGGACGCCAGGCAAGCACCAATGTATGCAATCTGCATAGTGCATAGGATCTGCCTTCTGTTCATCCGTCAGTAGCTTCCCTCCCAGCTCATTGTAGATTGACGCATGGCCGTCGATTCTGTACTCCGATAGCTGTGTGATGTTGATGAAAGTAACCGGGACCTTCATCCTCTTCATCACGCTGCTCACCACGCTCATCATCTCCAGGTTTGAGCCTGTTCCCCAGTGCCCCTTCTTCGTCACCGGCCTCGTCTCGTTGAAGCACTTTAACTCCCCCTCTTTCCCCCAATCCGCACTCCTGTACCAAAAGTTCGAAATAATATGTCAGGAGTTAGACTAACTAATTGATTGAATTCAATTCAAACTTTTAGTGCTTACCTGGTGTGTGTAGGCGACATTGTGGTAAAAAACACCCGCGTTTTGTTGGGATCGATGTTTGAGTCTATCCAGTTTGCCCATGTACGCAGTGCCAGTTTGTATGACACAGGGGTGTCAAATGTCTCATAGCCATCTTCACCATTTTCAAATGAACCCCACCTGCATTTCATTGCATACTTTTTGCTTATAAAATTGATCACAAAATATAAACCCAACTACTAAAACCAAGAAAGTGGTGAAACTTGAAACTTGTGGTTATGAATTAGACAAAAAAGGAAACTTAGAGGTCTTACAAAGCGTTGGACTTTAGGCCACTCATCCACCAAACATAAGTATTGAAGACCAAGATATCTACTCCTAACCAGTGCTTGCCACGCCTGGAAATGGAGTCCACCTTTATGATTCTCTTCTTGGCATCCGCTATTATCTGGATATCGGTGTTAGACTCCACCAAGAACGGCGCCCAATAGAATTCAATCGTGGCATTGTACTCCTAAAAACATTACAACATATCCTTTAATTTAGTGCAAAAAAAGAACTTATTTAAAACCGGGAGGCCATACCATACCTTAACTTGGAACACAGAATGACCACGACCGCGCTTCATGGACTTCTGGTCTTCCGGTATTACAGAATTAACCATGCAAACAAAAGACTCCCACTGGTTTCTCTGCAGTGAATCCCCGACGAACATCATCCTCTTCCCTCGGATCTTCCTCAGAGCATTCTCGGGATCAAAGCTGAAACATCATCGTTACGTTGCCGACAACTACATATGTTAGTCGTCGCAGGTTTACCTACTCCAACGTTATAATAATATATATATATCGACTACCTAACCTTGGCAAGATGCAGTCATCCGGCAGCCATACCCAATGACGATAATCTGAATCTTCTCTGCCATTCTTAACGCACGAAAACTGTCTGTCAACGTACGGACAACTAGTGTCCGTGTATAAAGGCTTAATCGAAGTATTAAACACCCATTTCCCGCCAGTAAGACTGCACTCCTCAGCGTCAAACTCGAACCTATCATCCGTTGCCTCACTAATCGGACGGCTCTTCAATTCTTTATCATCTGTCACACAACACAACCAACGTTGTTAGCTGACACCAAATTAAAGTACAACTTAAGACACAAATAACAAGTAAGGCCATAGTCAAACTCGGCCCGCACTAGCCCTGAACTGAATCTGAATTAGTCTCATAGTGGTGCGGACCTGGTATTAACTTCTTAGGCTTTGCAGCATGGCGCTTGGGGCAGGATTTGAATTTGAAAATGTTGCTGGAAGAGAGGAGGCTGATTCTTTCAGTGTACAATAGAGCAATGAAGGCCAAGGTGCAGATGATGGCTGTAATGGCTGGCAAAGATAGCTTTATTCTGGGAGGTTTTGGAGTGCCAGTCATGCTGGAAGGTGGGTAGGGGCAACGGAGGAGGAGGAGGAAGGGGGAAGCTTGAGTATGAATTAAATGGAATAAAAGGTGATGAGTAAATAGAAGTTTGGAGGGCTAATGCCAGTTCAGCAGAAAAACGAGGGAGGAAAGGGATTATTTTATGGATATTTTTATAAGTTCATGAGTAGGAGTGAAGCAAAAGTAATACCAAAGTTGGGATCTTTCTTTCTTTCATGAAATTGTACATGTCATAATGGAGGTCAGGTGAGTAAGGTGAAGGGTAAATTGTTTCTCATTTGTTAATACTTAATAATACTTAATTACAATAACCATGATTTTTTTTAAATTTTTTTTTAGCCAGTGGGTCTTCGAACACCTTCACATCCCTATCGTGGGAATTGCATTTCAATTTCGAGAGTTCCATCTACTTCAGCGTTGTAACCTTCTACATGTCCAGTGCCACCAACTGAACTAATTCTATATAAGATTATTTTAACTCTCTTTGTATTGATCAATTGGATGAGCCGATGCTATCGCACCTCATATATTGGCCTCCTATATGGTAGCATTTGGTGGGAACGCTTTTCCGCAGAAAGAAAGTCAAATCTTTGTCCAATTGTCTCTTTCTTGATTATGACTTGCACCCACAGTGACCACAATTCACAGATCTCCCCAGCTACATCAGGTTCAACTCAGCAATCAAACAGTTATAATATATAATTAGGCTTGTACCAGAAGATTTCAGGTGAAAGGTTCTGAACTAAATAGAGATTAATTTCATTACTTAATTTGCAACAGATTAGTATATACTTGGCCATAGATTTTGAATTTTTGATCCAACATGCAAGTATTGTAGAAATGACACATCACGGTAGTTGGAGTGGTAATGCGGAATCATAAGGGGCCAACAAGAATCCAAATGGATCCTAACAACATGGAATAATAAATAAATTAAATTAAAGAATACAGCTATGAACTTCTAAATACTTGAAATTCCTAACATTCTCTGTCTCCAGTGCTTTCATTTTCTGAGAATGGAGGAAATAAAATATATAAGTTAAAAGGAGGGGAAGAAAGTGGGTAGCCAAACTTTTGGATTTTGTTTTTGTTCCTTTTTTCTTCTTAGCGTATTGTCATGTATCCACACCTCACGAAATAAGACTAAAAGCATCTCCATAAGTGATTTTTTTTGCTTGTTTGGAAGAGAGAGAGGGTGAGGTGAAAGCCCGGAGGGACGAGAGAAGGAAGAGGTTGTCCGTTGTTGCTTAGGTTTCTTCCCACTTTTCCTCTTCCCCACAGAGACGGATCTAGAAATTTTTCTGAGCGGAGGCGAATTGAACCATTAATATGGTTCAAATACAAAATACATTATAAATTACAATATAATATTTAATATACTTTGACTATAATACAATTTTAAAGCACTTTAAAATGCTATAAAAATATTTATGACAAAATATAAGTCAATCAATTAGATAAAATAGTTTGACAATAAAACCGTCAAAACATGCCTCTTGAGGATGCTTTAATCACTAACCATATTATGTTCTAATTACTCAAACACCTCTAATTCACGACTCAAACTCCTCTCACTTGAGGTATATCTGCAAGCCCCGGAAACTGCTCTCACTTGGGGTAAGACATTTTGGTAGCCAACTGTTAGATTTAATCAGGGAAAAAGCTATTCTTTGAATAATCATTGCTTACTTGAGTAGCCCGTTACTGCCTTAACCAATGAAAGGCAGTGGTGCAGTACTAATCAATGACCATCCAGCATAATCATTAGTTGGAAACAATTGGCTTTGAAACAGACACAACAACCAGGGCATTATGCTAATGAGTTTATGTTAATATTACCTAGGATTAACTGTATGGTTTATATAAACTTTATCATTGGAAGTTGAATTTGTAAGTTTGTGATAACTAAATCCAACAGCCTAACCATCTCATAGCTTCTTGATATTCCCTCATGGCATTCTATATTCTGATCATTAGCCTTACCTAATACTCCATTCCAGCAATTAATAGCCTTTCATCATATTGCTTAGTGTGTATGGACACAAAATTTCCTTGTATCTCAAGGCTCTGAAATACAAAGTGACCTTGGGAAAGAAGAACAGAAACAGAAATTACAAGAAGCTTCATTCGGCATATTGAATATTGATGTCACTGTTATTCAACTTGGTACAACAGAATTCCAATTTAGATGGCATCTAACCTTTGAGTAAGCTGGCGAGCTCACCTTTCTCGTACATGGAAGTCAAGATGTCACATCCACCAACCAGTTCCCCGTTCACGTAAACCTGAGGGAATGTAGGCCAGTTACTGTAACTCTTGAGCGTCTCTCTTAACCCAGTGTTATGTTCTTCATCAAGAACATCAAGACTTTCGTAATCCACTCCTTGACTCTCAAGAATTGCCACAACTCTCTGTGAAAAGCCACATAGTGGAGCGCTTCGTGATCCTTTAATGAATGCCACCACCTTGTTCTCCTTCACTAGCCGGTCAATGAGATCTTCCAGAGGCACCGTCAATTGGACATGTCGCCCTGGTGTTAGCCTCAGATCAGCCTTCTTCTTTGGTTGCTGCCGAACCCATGTAGTGTTTCCGGATTCATTACCCGGTGGTACCTTTCCAGTAGCTGCTATATGTTCTTCCATCCATGACTTCCAAGATTGGGTTAAAGCCGTTCTATCAGGCTCATCCACAACACCAAACTACAATACAGTAACTCAATTAGTAGAGTATTTAAGTCAGAATACAATGAGAAAAATCCCGGGCAATTTTGAACAAAACAAGCTAAACTCTTAGCACGCTGCCATGCTACAAGAACATCAACACTACTCCATGGCAAGTTTGAACAACTCAAGCTTAACTCTTAACACGCTACAAGAACATCAACACTACTCCATGGCAAGTTTGAACAACTCAAGCTAAACTCTTAGCACACTACAAGAACATCAACACTACTCCAGGGAAAGTATCACCATAATCGGTGGTCTAGGCGGCCGACAAGGCGCTGACCGCCGAGGCCTCCTAGGCACCAACTAGGCCGCCTAGGTACCGACTAGGCGGCCTAGTCAGCCGATTAGCTATTGTTCCCTTCTTTTTTAAATGGGTTATTTCATTCAAATCGACGTCATTTTGAGCGAAATAACCCTAAATTGTTCAAACTCTATATGTTTTTAGGTTCATATTTAATATTTTAGTATTAACTATAAACTATTGAAGTATTAAATAGTTTATAATTATCAAGTCTTAAAAAATTAAAACATTTTAAACAAATTTTTTAAAAAATAGAAAATACACTAGCGCCTAGGCGGCCGGCCTCCTAGGTACTAGGCACCCCTGAGCGTCCGAGGAACGCCTAGCCATTTTTTCAACCATGATCAACAATACTCCAGGGAAAGTTTGAACAACTCAAGCTAAACTCTTAGCACGCTACAAGAACATCAACACTACTCCAGGGGCAAGTTCGAACAAGTTGAGCTAAGCTCTTAACATAACAAGCTAGAAGAATATCAACATTACCCCGGGGAAAGTTTGAACAAGTCAAGCTAAATGCTTAACACGCTACCAGAATAACAACATTACTCCAGGGTAAGTTTGAACAAGTCAAGCTAAACTCTTAACTTAACACGCTACAAGAGTATCAGCATCACTCCAAAGCAAGTTTGGACAAGCCAATCTAAATAATTAACATAATACACACGGAAGTGTCAACATTAACTGGAACTGGGAGTATAAGCATTTCTTTACTGGCATCCAAGTAATTCAAAATCTAGCTAGTGAATTAATCTGCGCTTCTATTATCTTCTTTCATTAATTCGTATGTCATTAGACAATCAGGAATTACCCAAGTTCCATGGCAAAATTTTACACTTTGCTTTTTCGATGTTTAGCTTTGTTCAAATGAATTAATCACCATTTTTTTTTTCCAAAATAAATTAAATGGATTGCTAACATAATTTATTGGTTTATGAAATGTAACCTTGACGGAGGAACAGAGCTCGGGAAGAGATTTCTTGTGGGAGAGTACGCTGGCGGCGATGTTCCGAGATATGCCGACGAATTGCAGCTCGGAGCTACTGTCGTAGACAGCATAGACGCCGGAATCTTTGGGGAATATGCCACTTATTGCGTCGGGCTCCGATGGAACGGCCACCAAGTCCGTCTCCGATAGCTTCTTCGCAGCAGAAACGACGAGGGTTAGGAACCGGGGCTTTGTTCGGTTGATGGGTCGAAGTCTTATGGAAGGGAAGAAGATAGAAGAGTTCGGGAGTGAATGAAGGGGGAGTTTAGGGGTATAATGGGAATAAACGGTGAATAGTGACGGAATAGAAGACCGGGAGCTCGCCGTAGCCGGTGATGAGATACTGATTGTGGCCATCTAGGCTTAGATTAGGAGACGAGTGAGAAGCTGAGAACTATGAAGGCGAATATGAAGATGGCCGTGTTTAGAGATAAATGGAGCTATATGTCATGGGATCAGAGTCCACCTTGCAATGTCAACCCGAATTCAAAATTAAGCAGTGAACCAAATGTTGAGACTCAAAGCCTCTCGCCGATATTGTGGATTGAAATGGATTGCTAAGGGGAACGAAATGTGGGATGAATGGAGGGGCCCATGTCCAGCCTCAGAGTCAATCTTTTTCTTGAAATTACAGATTCATTTTTTTTTTTTTTTGCCTACATTGTTTCATTTGCCAGAAGGCTGTTTATCTTGAAGACTTGATGCGGTTATGAGTACGATCGGGCTTGGATGGCACTCGGAAGACAGCAAGGGCGTAAATTACCCAATCATAACACGAGGAGGTAGATCGAGTTTGGCAATTGAAATGAGTACAATCTAAACCCCTTAACGAGGATCCATAGACACTTCCGTCCGCAACTTAGGCACCCAGTAGGCAACTCCGTCCGCAACTTAGGCACCTAGTAGGCAACTTCGTCCGCAACTTAGGCACCAAGTAGACAACTCCGTCCGCAACTTAGGCGCCAAGTAGGCACCTCCGTCTGCAAATTCCTCGTTGAAGACCAACAATTGCAATGATCTATCCCCATTACGATGAAATTTCAAAGATTACATGGGGCTTATCGCCTAAGGCTATATGCTCGTTGAATACATCAGTGTAGCGCACGTGCGG